GTGCCGCCCAAAGCGTGCGGTTGCTCCTGCTCCTTGTTCTCCTTCTTCTCCTGCGACTTGCTCGGCGTCTGCTTGTTCTTCCCCATCTTCATCTTCACCTTGCCGGGCTGGCAATCGCAGTCCAAAGCGCCCGCCTTCTCCTGCACATGGTCCCCCACCAGCTTCACCTTGCCGCCGGGCTGGTTGTCCTCCAACGGCATCGCCTGCTCCTTCTTCTCCTGCAAAGCGCTCGGCTGATCCTTCTTCTCCACCGCCTGCTCCTTCTTCTCCACCGCCTGCTCCTTCTTCTCCACCGCCTGCTCCTTCTTCTCCACCGCCTGCTCCTTCTTCTCCACCGCCTGCTCCTTCTTCTCCACCACCTCCTCCTGCAAAGCGCGCGGCTGATCCTTCTTCTCCACCGCCTGCTCCTTCTTCTCCACCACCTCCTCCTGCAAAGCGCTCGGCTGATCCTTCTTCTCCAACGGCATCGCCTGCTCCTGCTTCTCCACCACCTCCTCCTGCAAAAAGCTCGGCTGATCCTTCTTTTCCACCGCCTGCTCCTTCTTCTCCACCACCTCCGGCTGCAAAGCGCTCGGCTGATCCTGCTTCTCCACCGCCTGATCCTTCTTCTCCACCACCGTCTTCAAGTTGCCGCCGGGCTGGTTGCCCTCCAACGCCTGTTCCTTCTTCTCCACCACCGTGCCCGGCTGATCCTTCTTCTCCACCACCGTCTTGACCTTGCCGCCGGGCTGGTTGCCCTCCAACGCCTGATCCTTCTTCTCCACCACCGTGCCCGGCTGATCCTTCTTCTCCACCACCGTCTTGACCTCGCCGGGCTGGTTGCAAGCGCTTGCCTGCTCCTCCTTCTTCTCCACCTCCACCACCAAAGCGCTCTTCTTCTCCACCACCATCTCGACCTTGCCGGGCTGGTTGCCGTCCAAAGCCGAAGCGCTCGCCTGATCCTCAGGCTTCTCCACCGTCTCCTCCTGGTCGCTAATATTTGCCATTGACCGTGATATGAGGAATCCCAACAACAAAATCCCAAAAAGAAGAATTAACTTGAAGAAGTCTTTTATTGCTATCTTTATATTTGCTTTTCTTTTACTTTTTGATCTTATTTTTACGGCTGATCCTTCTTCTCCACCACCATCTCGACCTTGCCGCCGGGCTGGTCGTCCACAGCGCTCGCCTGCTCCTTGCCAGGGCCAGCTTGGTCGTTGATGGTAACTTTACTGACGTCTCTAATTGAACACTCAAACACTTAGACACTTCTCAGACCTACAAGATCGTTAGGCTATGTACGTTGGTTCACAGTTTGGAACCGTACTCAAAATCAAAATCAAAATCGCTTGACAAGCTGTTCCCCTTGCGGTCTCCCGGTTCCTTCTCCATCTTGTCCTTCATTGCCCAGCCCGGCTTCTCATCCTCCTCCTCAAATTTGTGACGCCAGAATGCCACATATGGTTTTCCACATAAGTTACAAAACACAAGGCACATGTGAAATATATTCTACATTTTGGTGATGGGAAACACTCAACTTTGAATGACCAGAGTGACTTTGGCCAAGGAAACACGCTAAGTCTCCTGGATCCTTGCCCGCTTGCTGCGCGGCTCCGGCTGGTCCGGCTGCACCGGCTGAGGCTCCTGACAGGATCGAGAATCCACGGCTGACGTGAAGTTTAAAGTTTAAAGTTTAAAGTTTGTGATGGCTCAAAGTATTCACTGAGTTCCTCAACTTCTCTGCATTTCTTCCCAAAAGAACACTTAAAACCCACATATGGACAACCCCAAGCCAGTATCCTCAAAGCGCTTCATCGGGAAGCCATCCTCGTCCCAGCCTGGGCCACAGCCCGTGTGCAGCCTCCTCGCCTCCGCCACCTCCTGCATGGAGTTGTTGAAGGTTTGATGGTGCAACAGCACAACAACAACTGAGCTGCCCCTGAAACAAGGGTCGGCCTTACGGGGTTGTATGGACACAACCATGCACTAAACCTTAAAAAGCTAAAAGTCTGAGGGGGTGGGAACCGCCGAGAAAAATCCACTGGCCTTTGTCCCCTGCCTGGCCTTTGGCGGGTAGCTCTCGTGGAGGATCTGCCAGATGCGGGCCAGCTCCGGGACGTTCGCCGGCCACTCCACGAACCTCTCCAGGTGGGCGATCCTCTTCATGTAGATGTTGATCGGCGGCCGGCCCCGCGGAGACCGCGGCCGACGTGGCCGCGGAGGCACAACCACGGGCATGGGCATGGCGCGGTGCTGGTGCTGCTGCTGCTGCTGTTGCTGATGCTGCTGATGCTGCTGGCGCTGATGCTGCTGATGCTGCTGGTGCTGATGCTGATGCTGCTGGTGCTGATGCTGATGCTGCTGGTGCTGATGCTGATGCTGCTGGTGCTGATGCTGATGCTGCTGGTGCTGCCGGTGCTGATGCTGCTTTTGCAAGGGGCATTGAGGCGGATTCTGAGTAATCAGTTGGAGCCGAAGCGCACCGCAAATGAATCAAGTGAATGAGTCAGGATCAAACCTGGTGTGACCTCATGGCTCCAAATGTCTTTCAACAGCCCTGCCCTGGCCTCGACGAAGCGCCACAGCGCGCAGGCCGCCAATCCAAATGGCCCACGATGCGTGCTGCGTGATGCTGAATGGCAATGGCTGTCATGACCGTGACATGGGGCGATGTGCTTAAGATGTAACATAGTGCAACGCAGCCCGGGTGAAAGCCTAAAGGCGTGCCCAAAACCAATTGAAACAACACCGCCAGACCCCTCCCCCCGGCGAGGTCCGGAAAGGAATGTTAACAAAGGGACCTGACAAGGTGGGGCAAATCTAATCTACATGCGGGTCATCAAGGTGAATTGATTTGTGTTGCCTGCGCATGAGCATCAGCAGCTGCCAGGCAAGCGGGCAAATGTGAACTGACGAACCGCTGGCCAGGGTCCGCAAAAAAGGCATGCCCTGCCCCCCCCCCCCGTTTGACAGCCCGGGAGCCTGATCACGATCCGTAATCTGCTTAGTTGTTGGCCCTTGTTCTGGTTAGTGTTTTTAATCCGCAACCCGCTGCAAATTGTGGGGCAAAGCATCGAACATCCATGCAAACCAACATGATCCAACCCGTGAACCGCACAATCCGCAATCCGCCAATCACTGGGGATTAGGTTTGCACAATGCTAGGGCAAAAAACGACAATCCACTCTCACCAATGTGCAGCCAAAGAAACATAGCCTCGCCTGGTTCTTGCGAAGTCTTAACCCCATCTTTCAAAATATATGCGAAACACCGTGTCAAGCAACGGAAATATCAAAAAAACCACACATTTTGCCGCGCTTCTTGGCCAAACAAAAAGCGTGCCCCCAGGAAATCGCCTCTATGCAAAAATTGTCATTGACTGCGCGTTTTTCAAGCGCTGTTTTTCAACCCAAGAAACTTGCATGTAAGCTCGGCCCTCCCCAAAACAACCATTTTTTTGTTCGTGCCTCAAAACGCGCCTTGACCCCAACCCCCCCTGGCTCGTGAAAGTTAACACATCTGGCCCTCCCCCCCCCTCTAAAAACCATCCAGAAGTGTCACTTCTGGCTGTGATTCTGGTTCTTTGGGCATGCTGCGCAACATTCCTTACAATTTCCAGCCATGGCGGGGTAGGATTGCTTTGTGTTGTTCTGTTGTTGCTTTGCTTGGTCCAGTGATGGTCCAGTGAACATGTTGCGCAACATTTCCACTGGACCAAACAAAAGCAACAACCAACACAAAAAAACAACTTCCCAGCCATGGTGGGGGTAGGAATGGCTCTACTTTGCGTTTGGTGTGTCTTCTTGTTGTTGCGCAACATTTTGGCCAACAGTCGGCCAACATTTGGCAGTCCGATAAAACAGAGCAGAACTTGTTTTAGATTGTTTTCAAAAAACTACCCCCGCCATGGTTGCAAAGGTCAGTTTTTTTGCTTTGTGTTTTCCCTAAACAGCGAAGCATTGGGGTTCTCCCTTGAGGCTTAAAGAATGGGAGAGCGTGCGCCTTCTCCGGGATCGTGCTTTCCACTTGGCTTCCTGTCTCCGAATCTCTCCGGTCAGATGCCAGATGCTCCTGCTTGCTCCCCGGTGTCTCCCCAGTCTCCCAGCTTAGATGCCAGAGGCTGCTCCGGGGTGCTGCCTCCCGCGTGTCCCCCTTTTGTCTTCCAGTCCCTCTGGTCAGACGCCAGATGTTGTGACGCCGGCTGGGTCGTCGCAGGGGTGTTGCTGCAAGGGGCCGTCATTATCCAGTGCTGTTTTTTCCTGTTTGGGATCGAGGCTGGTGGACCTTAGTCCAGTTCAAATGTTGCGCAAGCTGAGCCGCAACATGTGCAACTGTTGTTGAAACACGTGCAATCAAGATTCCAACGTTTTTTCGCGCAATCTCGGATCTTGGGTCCAGCCCAAGAAGACTGTTAAGTGTTTCCCACATGCCCTTCATGATCGCGATGGTAGGTCCCAGTAGGTATCCAGCTTGACCCTCATTTGTGAGGGGAAAATTGCATTCGCTGCGCAGCTTGACACTTCTTTTGCGGAGAGGAACGATAATCTGACCGGATCAACGATAATCTGACCGGATCTGTCACATGCCGAAAAAAAAAAAAAAACGCATTTCACGGCATATTTGCCAAGGAGCAGCTGCATCTTGATTGAAACACTTTCCTGTGATCATTTTATTGACCGCAGTCTACGAAACCAAGCTAGATACACAACACATACATTCGATTGGATGTTGCGGTCCACATGTTATTTTAACGAGTTGAATTAGAATGCAATGGAACTGCGCAAGGACATTGGAGCATCTCTATAATTGATTGGAATCCCATATACTCAAAGTGGCTTTAAAGTCACGTTTCTCAAAACTCTATTTCGAAGAAAGATGTCTGGGGAACTTGTATACCTCAAAACACTGAAAACCAATAATTGAACTCCGCTCAATTTTGGTGGGACTCATGGGAATGCTGCACGCACAAAACCTCAGAAGCCGCCCTTTTTCCCAGGTGGCTGAAACACATCCACCGATGCCTCCTTCTCTGGCTGCGCCATGATTCGAGGTGGTGCCTTGGGCGGGTGCATCACCCGGGATGAGAAACGGTCTGTATCCTGGGGTGCCCTGTTGTAAGGGAAACCACTTATTTTGGGGGGCCGCCCACCTACACACACGCACGCACACACACACACACACCCTCTAGAAGAATCCATCAGGTTTATGTCTCTGGGGTTGACTCAACCGAATTTGCAGAGGCAAGCCTACTATGAAGGTCAACCTTTTCCAGTTGCCGTGGAAAATCAAGGCACTATCCCAACACCACGCTCATCAACGCACTGCCACCACTGCCGCGGCACATCGAAGTTGTGCATTGCCAGAAAGGACGGCAGCGGCGCTGGCATAACTTGGGCCAACTCAGCGTGAAGAAAACTTGCGCCCTGCGACTGGCACAAAGCTGACCGCCTAAGTTTCACCCTCCACAAGCTTCTGACTCTCGACCTGCACTTTTTGCGCATTGGCAGCGCCAGGTCGAAATCCATCAAAGCAGCCACTTCCAGCCTCGGCGCAGAGCTTTTTGCACAAAGCGTCACCCGAGATCGCCAAAGCAAACTTCTTGAACAGAAATGTAACAGCCACAAGCATGCAGCATATTAGTGGAGGGGGGTTCCTTAAAGAAACCGTGCAACAAGTGAATGGGATTTCAGGGGTTCGTCCCCCCTCTCGAATCCCGTCTTGAATAGTGTAGGGTTCCACAGGCATGCACAAGAGTGCCGTTGGCAAACGCCTGCAGCCGATTTTCCAATCGCAGGGGCATTGGAGAATAGTTTAGTTTTGCAGCATGCCGATGCTTTCCACGCATCAAAAGCTCTGGCTCCCACAAGCTTGTGGGAGCCAAAGTTTTATTTATGCAATGCGCCCACTTGTTGCCAATCAATGCGTCTTCCAAACTTGGGCTGGCCATGGCTGGTCCTATAGGTTCACTCTCTAATGGGGGCTCCCAAGAGGGCACAGCGCGCACAGCGCACGCATGCTGACAGCGCTGCTCAAAGTGGCTCCACCCGATTTGCAGCTCCAAAAGTTCCAGCCCATGCTGGGGGAAATATATAGGCTTCCAAGCCAGGCAGTAAGGCCTTGGAGTGTTGGTGTTGACCGAAACAAACGTGCGCCCAGCCAAGTGCCCAGCACTTGAAGTGACTAAACCAGTACACTGCCAAGGCCTCTTGCAAGAGAGCATCGCCCAAGGTTGAGAGAGACACTAGTGGACTGGAAACTAAAGCTAAACCAATCTGTGGCAAAAAAGTGGTTGCTCTCTGGTCGCTTTGGGCAATGCTGAGCTAAAGCTGTTTTCTTTTAGCAGCGTGCATCAGCTCGATTCACCGACGCAGGGCCTCAAATGCCTGTGCCGCAGTGCGAGCAGAAAAGAAGTCCCACAGAGCGTAGCCAGGGCCTGGCCTGGGCTACCAATGGATGTGTCTCAAAATCCAATTCGCAGCTTCACATGGCTTTCATCCTAGAGCTTTGAAAGCTTGTTGAAAGGCAGCAGGTTGAAAGCTGATCGCGGCCAAGCGTCTACTTTGCATTTGCCGCAGACAAGTATGCTTTCCAGCCGTCCTGTTCCAGCCGTCTTCTCTTCGTCTCAACTGTGCTGCTCTCGTCAGCCTGACACGGTCTGGCATGGTCGCGCGTTATCTCCCGAAATTTGTGTTCCTAAAAAGTGCGCTATCATCAAATTTTACGCACGCCATCTCATGCCGAATGCATACACTTGGAGCACATCATATTGCCTCAAGAAATTGCAGCAGAAAGCAGGTCAACATCTGCCTTGACCTGTTTCCAACTAGCGCACACCTTTCCGATGTGCTCATGCGGCGTAAGTTGCTCTGTGCTGATTGCCTGCACAAGGGCCTCTCGATTCCCTCTTGAAAGGTACAACAAACAAGCTACGCGCATACTTCACAAGCAAACACGATGCTAGCGCGCAGCTAACTTGTATGAACGGCGATATTTCTTTAAGCTACCTGCTTGCGGGTACTGTATAGGGAGACATGAATCACCCTCCCCTTTGGCGGGGCCAAACCTTGTGCGCAGCACTCGCAGTAGCTTTCGCACTGCCTGCATTAGACTCGCAGTTCAGGGATCCAGCCCTCAAGGAAAATCAGCTGGGAAGCCCTACCCGAAGCTTCTGTCCCTTTTGTTTGGAGGACCTGGCAGACCCCCTCACATTGCTGACAAGCCGCCATGAATCGAGCCATCTTCTGCCGCATGCCTGCATCCGAGTCAACTGAGCCCCATATTCCGCAAAAACCCAGAAACACCTCTTGAGACCATGGCCAACAACAGACAAACTCTTGCCCGCCCCAAGGAGCCTGAAACTCAGGCCTCCCTCCATTTCCGACGGAAAAATCACCCCTACCATGAAAGCTCACTCACCTAACATCAGCCTAAGCGGGTAATAAATAGAAAAAAACAAGGAGTTGCAAGGGCGTTGGCTTCCCGAAAATGGCGGCTTCTCTCTTGGCGCGCTTTGCCCACTTTGCACGGGTCCGGCCTGGGTTTGCGGCGCCCAAAATCCTTACCGCCAGCAGGCCAGCGTTCGCTGCATTGCCGATGGCCACTGTGGCCACTGGCACACCTGGCAAGAGATCGGAGATCGGGAGCCCAGATCCCGCGCTCAGTTGCCGTTCCGTGGATCTGTGCAAAACACGGGGATGCCAAAACAGGGGCGTGTCCAAACCGGAGAACTGAAGAATGGAGCCCCCCCCTCAAACAGAAGGTGGTGTGTTTGCTTTTTGATGTGTCTTTTTCTCCCTCACCCACCTGAAGAAAGTAAACCCTAATGCACAAGCGCACATGAAAGCTCCTGGAAGGCCACTGAGGGCCACTTCCATGGAACCGCAAACGGAATGTATCCTCCGATGTTTTCCAGGGAATAGGCGGCAGGGCCGGACGTGGTCCAAACAGAACAACCAAAGACCTGGCACTGTTGTTGGTTTGGTCCTTTTTTTTCTGGACCCAGAAGGCGCGCTTCAAGTTTGCTCAAACCAGCACGGGCAACCCTTGGGCATCTGAACAATGGACAGCAGCGAGTCGTTGCCGGAAAGTGCGGATGACTTCACCGGCACACCAATCCTGGGAGTCGCGGAGTGTCTGCATTGCCCTGCCCATTCTGTAAACACATGCAGCATTTGCTTGCATCGCAAGCTTCCCTTCCCGAAGTGATGGTAATCCTTTGCTTGTTTGATCTTGTTTGGCTCGCCACGAGGCACTTGATGGCACACAGCAAATTGCAAAGCGCAGTTCCGAACCCATTGCTAACATGGGAACCCTCAAACTGAGTGAGTGTTGTCTTTGGCTCCCCTTTGAACAACCTTCACCAAGGCATGCCAAGTCAATCCCCTTTTGAAACCAAACGGAGGTTTCCTCCAAACCCGCCCCCCCCCCCCCCTCCAAAACAGGACACGCCCTTGGTTCTGTTCTTGGGTTGCTTTAAACCACCCCCTGGTTACACCCCTTTCCCCCAAGTTTCCCGGTTTAGGTGCACCGAGGTTCACTGGTAAGGGCGTGAGCGCTGCCACCATGCCCGGCAAATGAGCTGCCCCGCCGGCCCCCGCGATGATGACGTTGATGCCGCGGGCCTCCGCGGTGGTGGCGTACTTGTACCTGAGATCCACCGAAAGCCCCGACTCTAAGCAAAAGACTTGGGAAAGATCTTCTGGGAATTGAGCAGACCCCCTGGTGTTTGCGGGTTTTTGGTTAAACTGGAGGTTTGCTGGAGTTTGTGTCTTGGAGAGACTCGTGGGGCGTTTGGCTTTTTCTGGGAGTTCTGCCATCAAACCATGGGACATGTCGGACACACCGTGCTGAAAGCAGATGGCACAACTCTTTTTATTTGCCATCTACTTTCACCCGACTGCATACTCAATTCCAAAGACCTGTTGGGGGGAAAGGTTTCTCAAAGGGTCCAGTTGTCTGTGTTATACTCAAGCTCTCGTTTGATCCTGCACTCTTCTGACAACCAGGGCCCTCCTTTTGGGCGGTTGGACGCTTGGGAAAGCCCCACTCCCCTTTTGAAAGGCAGGCCTGCAGGGGAACCCGAACCTCCATGTTATGTTGGGCTCCCTGAGTTGAAAGCACACCAGGGTTGGGCACAGGTTTAAACAAAGGCCGCACCACCTTTGAAGGGGAACTGAAAGAAGGCAACCGAGGTCAAAAAATAGTCATGGTTTTTGTGGGAAGTTTACTACTGGAGACATCTGCGCGCTAAGAAGGGGCAGTGGACAATTGAGGTATTTTCCCCCCTTTTGTTTGTGTGTGTGCGTTTTGTTTCTCTATGGAGGCATTGTCCAATCTATTGAACACCCAGCGAGAAATGCGGCCGCAAGTGCTTGATGGTGGTGATTGTGGTTGCCAAGGGTTGCGGTAGAGTAGCTGAAGCGTTGACGCTAGTATACATTACAACTTGGAGTTGCCGACTGGTGGCATGTACTCCGGCGTGCGGTGTGCGGACACAATCGAAATCTCGTAGGGAATGCCGAAATCATCGAGGACCACAGCAGCATCCTGCAAGCAAATCAACTTCGATCACAAAAAAAAAGAAAAAACAGACTGCAGTTCGAGCCCCTGATGCACAAGTTGATGCATGACGCACCACAGCACTTCGCCACAAAACAATCGGCGAACTGGCCTTCATGGTGGGAAGGTCGCTGTCGCTGCCCATGATGATGCCCACAGAGGGGTTGTTGGGGACCTTGATGCTGTTGTAGTCAATGGACCCGTCCCCATCCACCGCCTCAGGGCTGCGAAAGAAAATTCGGACCCCTGGACAGTCCCTGATGCACGCCCTAAGTGGCAAAACTCCGTTCTGGCCAGGGTTTCGCGCACGTTTGTTCTTAGGCACGTGTGTGTTTTTGGGGAGGCGTCCTTTGCAAGGCTGGTTTTCATGAAAAACCGGTGAGGGGGGAATGAACATCCACTTTGTGCCCCCTCCCCCGGTTTATGACACCGTCCAGGGTGCCGCCAGCACCGGCTGAATCTCCTCCAGCGCACTGGCGGGCGTGAAGCCCGTCACCGTGATGTGCCCCATCTTGCGCCCCTTGGCGCAGCCCTCCTGCGGCCCGGTGGCGAAACCAACACCAAGCAACACGGGAGGGGGGCCTTGCCAAACATCATGATGAACTGGGAATTGCTCAAAATGGAATCCAAAATCCCGATCCGGAATCGCCATAATCCGCAATTCGTGGAAGGACGCCACTGATTGATTTGGAGCAACCCGGGAAACGAAGCGCTGAGGAAGCAAGGGAAAGTACAACAAAACTGTCCGGCCCCGCCTTGCCATACCAATGGATGCCGGCATCTGGCACCCTCAAGGCCCGACGCAAAGGTGCCATGGTCTTTGCCACCATCTCTGGGGTCTCGCCCTGGCCCAGAATGTTCCTAAGCTTTCAACTCAAAACCCGAGCGACTGGCAAGGGGAATGTCCACAAGATGTTCGAAGAACTCCACCATCTTCCACCAGTATGGGTTAGTATTTGGGACCCAGTTGCTAACATCAGGGCCCAATATAAGTACCCATGCTTTCACCAACATGGAACCCACCGAAAGGCCTGCTGTTTGATTAACAACAGGCTCTTCCAGGACCCCCCCCCTCCCCATGTCAAATTTCATGGTGAATTGGAGGGTATACCCTCCCCCCCGGCCACCTCCACTGAAAGCGAGCGGCACCATCGTGGCGCCTCCGACGCCTCAGCTGGAGTTGGTCTGTGCACATGGGTAATTCCAAGTGGTTTTTTGGTGGAGAGGCGCGTGCGAATTCGGAGATGAACTCTTTCACTCACATGGCGAGGTATGTCCACAAACTGTTCCATTGATCCAACTGATGACACTCGATTAAGGAAGGGCTCAAGGCCCCGTAGGTCCCATCCGGTGGTCCAGGCAAGTTGCCCCCAGACCAACCCCCCCCCCCCAAAAAAAAAAAAAAAAACTCAAAATGTATCGTTTCCCCTTGGTTGAACCCGAATCGCACCCTCCCAATGACACGGCCGCGCTGCCCCACTTTTTCCCAGGCGCGGAGATTGCAGTCCCCCAACGGCAGGCCCAGAACGCATCGGAGGTGCTGCTCGAACTGGTCCACGCCGCACGCTTCCTGCGTCGCCGGATCGCTGCCACAAGAATCCATGTGGAAGGGAGGGTTTGTTGGTCGCCTTCGGTCACGTTTTCCAGACTGGTGGGGAATGTTCACATTTGGCTCTGATTCCCCTTCTCCATATGCAGCATTCTGGGCCTCAGCCATAGATGAGCTATCCAAGCTGACGAGTGCGGGCTGCCAAAAAGGGCATGGCCAACTGATTTGTGGCGATCGTTGTTGGGTGTCGATTCAACAAGTGCCGCCGTAGCGCTCTGCCCAAACCCCGAGGCATCGGCACACATGCCACAGCTCAAAGAAAGCTTGAAACAGTGCAACGCTCCTGCTTTAAAAAAAAAGTAGCGCCCGGCGACTGACAGCTCAACTAGCCCGCTTTAAGTCATCATCGAGTTGCCATGGTGTAGTGCCCGGTGTTGTGCGGTCGTGGGGCAATCCTTGGTTCCACACGGAACAATCCTGGGTTCTTTCGCCCAACGAACATTTGCGGCGAGCGGCTCGTTGAGGAGAACGGACCCGTCCTCCAGCAAGAACATTTCCACGCCGAAAATTCCCCGTGCGTCACCTAGGCTCTGGGGTGGACAAAGCAGAAACATCACGCTTATGCACCCAACGCGCAATGCGATGTTTCCCAAGAAGAATCTGGAACAATGTTTTCAGCCACCAAACCCCCTGGAAGCCTCACAAAAAGGAAAGCCCCACAACACCTTGGCTCATTGCTCCCTGCCAGCTGGCCAAAGCTCTTGATGGCATCTGTGGCGATCTTCTGTGCGAGCTCTTGCTCCTTCTGAGTCACCTCACTTCGGTTGCACTACAGGATTTACATGTTGGCAAGTTGGCTTTGTTTGGGTTCGGGCAACTAGCCACGGCGTCATGCATGGCAAAGGAAATTGTGGGTACTTGGGCATGATTCGGGCATGAATCGGGGTCCGATTCGGACACTGCAAGAACTAGACAGAGTGATTCCAGAAGAAATAGCAGCAGCATTGTGCTCAGTTGTACGATAGAAATTTGCCGTCGTAGGGCAGTGCCGCAAAGCCCTCAAAGCGTACTTGTCACGCAGTGGGAGCCCCTACTCGTTGTGGGCGCTGCTCAGTAGCTGCACCGGGATGAGGCTAAGACTTGTAGCAAGTCGTCGGCGAGGGTATGCTTCGAGGATACTCCAAAGGCAAGCCGGATCTGTTTGCAACATTAAGCTGACTCACCGTGAGGAACACGCCCAGTCAGCCAAGGGACACCCACAGGCGGAGTGAGGCAAGTGAAGCAAACGCTGTCGCGCTGGACGGTGTGCACCACGGGGTAGGTCCCTGACATTCCATCCAAAGAATGGGGTAGGAAGGCGGGATTTTGAAACCCTGGTTGGTAAGTATGACTATCCCTTGCAATTCGGGGCTCTATGATTTTGTTCTGTAGCCTGGCATCCCCCTTCCGGGGGAATCTTATGTGCTTGGCATAACCAAGATTTGTTCAACTCTCTGAAGACTTGTCGTGCCCTCCCTGCTTGCTTGCCTGATTGCATGCTTTGCAATTTCGCTGAGCCACGCATGGTCACCTGCATGGTCTCGTCAACCCCGCGGGCAACCATCACCGCAAGCTCCATCTTGAAGGGAGCCCACTTCTCAACCTTCACAGTGCCATCTGTCAATGCGACTGGGCATGTGCAACTCTCTTTGGGCGGTCAGTATTCATCGAGGCACCCAAACTGACATGGGATTTTAATAACCCCTTCCAACTCGTGTTTCGGTAAGTGTGCTCTATACTGGCTCCTTCCAACTCGTATTTCGGTAAGATTGCTCTATACTAAATAATGGGCATGGCTCTTATTCCTTCCTATGCAGCAAAGCAAATGTCGACCAGGGTCAAGGACCGCTCGGCACATTTAGAACTGCAAGATTGCATTGCAGTATGTGCTTTGCATCCAGTCCAAGTTGCATAGAGCGTCCTCAAATGCAGCGCTCTCTTGCCAAGGAAGGCAAAGATCATGCATTCAAGACTGGGCAAGTGCCACGCGCGACCATTTGCTCAATGCAGCAAAGGCGCTTTCCGGCCTTTCCACCCAGCTTTTCCCATGCAGCAGGAATGCCGGCAGCATTGGCTACGACTGCGTTGCCCTTGCCGTCGTAGGCACCGCAACCTTGCGCGGTGTCTGTGTGCACTGGGTGCATCACTGGGTGTGAGGCAACTGACATCATGAACCCAGTTCCCAGTGACCCTGGAGGCCCTGGCGGGAAAGCGGAACCATTCAGGGTTGACAATCTGAAGTAGGACACCCAACCAAACCAAGAGGAAAAGGGTGCCAAGGAACAACTGGGATCTCATTCAGTGACACTTCATGCCAAAGCACGGCTTTTCAGCATCATGGGAAAGCCAAACTTCTCGCCAATCGTGTGCAGTTCAGCTTCCTGGCAAGCCACAATTCAAGCGCTCCCGAGGCCTGTCAAGGCATCTGATGCATAAAACCGTGGCAGCGCTGTGAGACTTGCCGCTTCTGCGATGGAGAACCATTTTGAGCATAACGATTGCTTCAAACACAAACATGCGCAGAGCGCGCGGATTGCCGCAAGGGGCCACCAAGCTTCACTCGTTATCTGAGCGAGCGTCAGTTTCGACCTTCTCGAACTCAGGCAGTGGCACGCCGTGCTTTTGCAGGTGCACCTTCCTAAGGTGAAGGCCCACTGGACAAGGCGATCAAAATCCACAAAGGACCCCCTACCAAAGCCACCTGAAGCAGGGTTGCAGGATGTCCCCGCTTCTGAAGGCCTTCCCAGTGACTACAAGTGGGATGTGCTATCGACAAACCGTCGCCCAGAACTTTGCCCTAAAGCGTTGCTCCTTGAGGACATCTTTGGCTGTGTTCATCATTTTGCTTGCTTCGGGGTAAGGGGGAGGTTGTCAAACTCAGAAACTGGAAAGCCCTTGTTGATAGAGTTGTTTTTACTCATGGGGCCAGTTTTGGCCGAGCAGCTGCACGTACTTGTCCTGAATGAGCTTGACGACGAAGGGAAGTGGTTGCACTGGAACCCCCTTCTGATGCAGCTCTTCCAGCACCTAAAGACGCACAAACCGACGGGCGCTTCTGTGGGGTTTTGCTGCGTGGCCAACTGATTGACCAAAGATTCATGGAATTTTACAAGCGGCCTTTTCAAGAGCAGAAAGAGGGCACTGGTTCCAAGCACAGCTTGGCCTCTGATCCCCGATCATCAACCACACTTGCAGCTGGCGCTGCCTCCGCATTCACGTGTTCCACCTCCAGGGTCAAGATGTCACACTTGCTGGCCAGCTCCCGCACTGCTGCTGCATCCTGGAGATGGGTCCCGCCAACATAACATGGTGCAAACCCCTACACTATCTAGGGGTGCTTTTGGAGGGTACCCTTTCACTTTGCTTTAAAGGGAGCCAAAGGGAAACCCATCTTTTTTGGGGTTCCCCATTTTGACACACATCCATCTCAACCTGGTTGGAAACAAGCGGCGACTGTTACGGACTTGTTTCCACCCAAGTTACTTGGGGGAATCGAGTCTATGACAGTCGCCGCTTGATTGAATAGAAAGCAAGAGCATGTTGCATCCGTGCCTGAAAACTGCCCTTCACGGATAACTCGGCCACCTGGCCCAAGGCCAACCGTAAACGCTGCAATGACAACGACCAAGTGAAAAGCAGGTGTCTTGGCTGTGTATCCCCAAAGTTCGTTTGCAGGGGCCGCGTAGCTGTTTGCCAATTCAGTGCTCGCCCTCGCCTGGCCAGCCGGGCTCTTGGCCCCCAAAGGGTCCAAGACGCACATGCGCACCCCAAGGCGATGTGCCGCATAGACCATCATGCGGCCCAGCTGGCCTGGCCAGTGAAAGAGCTTCAACCCCCCCAACTGGGAAAAACGCGGGGTGAAGTCCCCTTCATACATTGTGCCCCTAGTACCGCCAAGGAAATGAGAAACGTCCTTGTCACATGTATTGGGATAAAGACAAAGGTGGAGGGGGTTAACACGCCTATCACAAGATTCTGCAAAATGCGATGTAAAATCGGCGGCTCGCTTGAAAAAGCATTTTCCAACTCGAACGTGGGTGCAACAAAACGGCTCACAGCGGCCAGCCTCCACCCAAGCAGCCGACAGTCCTTGTGTCCATTGCGCCTCAGCTGAGCAAAGCCACACCGGCTTGGCTGCCGTTGAATACGGCTGGCTCTTGCCTGCAATCGAGCTGCCAGATCGTTGGGCAGCAAGGCGAGCAGCAAAACGTTCTATCAAATGGCTGCAAATGCACATGCGACATCACCTTGCTTCATGCACACCATACCCTCAGGGTTTTTGGGGGGTTGTCAAAACGATGGCCCCGTTTTGGCTTTTGTTGGTGCCGCCTTGTGGGCCTTTTAAAAGGGATGCCAGAATGGACTCCTAGCGACTGGCCGGAGGGAGTGAGAGGCTATGAGACTTGCGCAAGTCCGGTGCCAAACTTCTTCTAGCGGCCCAGCTTGACCGTCCGACCTGGCACACAGCCTCAAGCCTCAGCTCCAGCTCACGCGGCCGGGGCCCAATGCTCTGCCCCTAATTACCCTTGGCATTCCCGGGACAAAAGCCATACACAGGAGAATTAGGTTGTGGCTCTCCACCAATGCTATTTACATACATGAGAGGTAAACATATTTTACACATCATACATATCATATTATACATATTATGCGCACCTTTTAGGGGCCCATTGTGTACTTGGGATGCGCTTGGGCTGTGTGGCATTTTCTGGCGGCACGCGTGAGGCCCAGGCATACTTTGGCTTGACGGCGTTCGATTCGGGGCCCATCTGCTCACCACGCGGCCTGCATGCGAGCACCTTCTGAGCAGCTGAACATGAATTAGGGGCTTTATGAAATGTCCACCAACCACTTTGTTCGGGGGTGTTCCCTACTCAAATTCACAGCCAGTTCCCCAGTACTTGGTCGGCTTCTTCCCACGACATGACACAGAAAAACACCGATTTCAAATCATCTCTGGGAGGACCTCTGTTTGAAGAACACGAGTTCTATTCATTGTCTGACAGGATTCTTCGGCAGTGGCGCTAAGTGCTCTTTTGTCAGCAATATGCCAGCCACATCACTTCCTTGGGTGGGAACTTCTGCCGTGGGTGTCCTGGGTAGACGCCTTGTCCTTCGCCGACCGTCACTGGTCCACACAGCACCGCAACCAGGCAGTGCTGATCACCTGCTGGATTCGGCCGACTGATGGGTTCCAGGACCCCTCCTCTTGTCAGCCGGGCGTGTTCACGCCTGCCAAGTTTCATCCATGACCACTCTGAGGTAGTCTGAGCTCTTTCGCCATCGTGGTTCTTGAGTTCTCAGATCGTTGCTGGCTTGCAGTCACGAAGCCGTCTTGCGCGCAAAGAATATACACAAACCACCTGCCTGACTCATTTGGACCACCTCACTGAGAGACGTCTCTGAACTTGGCCGGCCGTTGAAACACAAGATCTGATCGCCCTTCTGTAGGCCGAAGCAGTCTGCCCAGCCCCCAGGCAGCACCTCGTCGATGCAGAGCGCACTGCCCAGGCCATGAGACTGGAGGCCCAGACATCGGATGCCCGATGGCGCCATCAGCTCTGCTCCTTGCAGCACCTCCGCAAGCAGCGGCACGTCCTCACCAAACACCTCTCGCGCGGCTTCCCCCACGCGGGCTTTCGCCTCCGCGACAGCCGAGTCGTGCGAGTCGTGCGCGTCGCGCGGCAGGCGCACGTAGAGGCTCACCCGGCCATCGCTGCAAGAGGTGCAGCTGAGAGCCGCACCTGCTGCCAGTGCCTTGACGCAGGCCTCCTCCAATGCCTTCACCTGCCCACTCGCTCCCGCTGGCACCTGGCGTCACCCAGCATTGGAGGGGAAGAGTCAAGAGTCCCTGATTTCAGGAAACACCAAATGAGACAGCCTCATCTGGCTATCACGTAAGCAATCAATGATCTTTGTCATGTCATCGACTCTCTTCTTGGATGTCTTGTTTGGGGACATCAAATTGTAGGCACTGTAGGTTTCGAACGTGATACAAGAGTCTATTTTAGAGGAGTTAAAATCGTGCAATTTGCACAATAGTTCCCCAAACAGCGAAGCATTGGGGTTCTGACTTGAAGTATGAAGAATGGGAAAGTGTGACGCCGGTTCCGGGGTCCTGTTTTCCGCTTGTCTTCCTGTCTCCCAGTCAGATGCCAGATGCTGTGACGCTGGCTCCGGGGTCGTGTCTCCCGCTTGTCTCCTGTGTCTCCCAGTCTCTGCGGTCAGATGCGAGATGCTGTGATGCTGGCTCAGGGGTCGTGTCTCCCGCTTGTCCCCTGTGTCTCCCAGTCTCCGCGGTCAGATGGCAGATGCTGTGACACTGGCTCCGGGGTCGTGTCTCCCGCTTGTCTGCCAGACGCTGTGACGCTGGCTCCGGGGTCGTGTCTCCCGCTTGTCTCCCCGGTCAGGGAGACAAGCGGGAGACACGAGCCAGCGTAACAACATCTGGCATCTGACCGCGGAGACTGTGGGAGAAACAGGGAGACAAGCGGGAGACACGAAGACAAGTGTCTCCCATCCCAGCCTCCGCGGTCAGATGCCAGATGCTGTCACGCTGGCTCCGGGGTCGTGACTCCCGCTTGTCTCCCTGTGTCTCCCCGCTTGTCTCCCTGTTTTCTGTGTCTCCCAGTCTCCGCGTTCAGATGCCAGACGCTGTGACGTGTCTCCCGCTTGTCTCCTTGTGTCTCCCAGTCTCCACGGTCAGATGCCAGATGCTGTGACGCTGGCTCCGGGGTTGTGTCTCCCGCTTGTCTCCTGTGTCTCCCAGTCTAACTCCGCGGTCAGATGCCAGATGCTGTGACGCTGGCTCCGGGGTCGTGTCTCCCGCTGCTCCTGTGTCTGCAAGTCTGCGCGGTCAATGCTGTGACGCTGGCAAGCGGGACACACGACCCCGGAGCCAGCGTCGCAGCATCTGGCATCTGACCGCGGAGACTGGGAGACACAGCCCGCGAGACACAACCCCGAAACCAGCGTCGCAGCATCTGGCATCTGACCTCGGAGACTGGCACACACAGGCAAACAAGCGGGAGACACGACCCCTGAGCCAGCGTCACAGCATCCCGCTTGTCTCCCCGGCCGAGGTCGTGTCTCCAAGTCTCTGTGGTCAGATGCCAGACGCTGCAAGGCTGGCTCCGGGTTGTGTCTCCCGCCGCTTGTCTCCCTGTGTCTGGATGCCAGATGCTGCGACGCTGGCTCTCCCAGTTTCTTCTTGCCCAGTTTTGAGGCTGACCTTGCTTGGCATCCAGCAACCGGCGTTCGGCTCCCTTCGGCTCCCTTCGGCTCACGTGGCAGCAGCTCGAAAGCGCAATTGAGAAGCATCAAGCTAGAAACATCGATTCGACAAGTCAGCAGGAGCCACTTGCAACAATGTTTCGCAACGGGGAAAGGGCATGTCGCAGATTTTGCTGTAGCCTGTGTGCAAAGGAGGTGCCTCTCTCTTGGTCAAGCGCAGGTTTGCATCCTTGTGGAGCATCGTTGGAGCTAGAAGCAAGCAATGTCAAGCTGTAAATATGTCTTTTTTCTCGATAAACAAACAAATCGGGCTGATTGCTTTGCTCAGGAAACTGGGCTGCTTTTTGGAAACCAGTGCCGCGCTTCTTGGTCAAGTGCAGGTTTGCATCCTTGTGGCGCACCAGCAGGGCCCTGTCGAGCCTTTAATATGTCTATGTTTCTCGATAAAAACAAAACATCCGGCTGATTGCTGTTTGGAATCCAGTGCCGCACTTCTTGGCCAAGTGCAGGTTTGCATCCTTGTGGCGCATCAGCAGAGACAAATACGGCTGATACTGAGCTGCTTTTTGGAAGCCAGTGCCGCACTTCTTGGCCAAGTGCAAGTTTGCATCCTTGTGTGGCGCATCAGCAAAGCCCTGTCGAGCCTTTAATCTGTATATTGTTCTCGATAAACAAATATGCCGTGACATCTGCCTGATTGCTTTGCTCAGGATTCTTAGCTGCTTTTTGGAAGCCAGCGCCGCACTTCTTGGTCAAGTGCAGGTTTGCATCCTTGTGGCGCATCAGCAGAGCCCTGTCGAGCCTTAGATGTGCCCATTTTGTTTTCGATGCGCAAATGTACCGTGACATCCGCCTGATTGCTTTGCTCAAGAAACTGAGCTGCTTTTTGGAAGCTGGCGCATCAGCAGAGCCCTGCCGAGCCTGAAATATGTACTGTTGTGCTCGATAAACAAATACCGTGACATCTGCCGGATTGCTTTGCTCAAGCTTTTTGGAGGCCAGTGCCGCACTTCTTGGTCAAGCGCAGGTTTGCATCCTTCTGGCGCACCAGCAGAGGCCTGAAATATGTACTTTTGTTCTCGATAAACAGATACCGTGACATCCGCCTGATTGCTTTGCTCAGGAAACTGAGCTGTTTTTTGGAAGCCTGCGCGTCAGCAGAGACCCGCCGAGCCTTAAATATGTACTGTTGTTCTCGATAAACAAATACCGTGACATCTGCCTGCTTGCTTTGCTCAGGCTTTTTGGAAGCCAGTGCCGCACTTCTTGGTCAAGTGCAGGTTTGCATCCTTGTGGCGCATCAGCAGAGCCCTGTCGAGCCTTAGATGTGCCCATTTTGTTTTCAATGCACAAATGTACCGTGACATCCGCCTGATTGCTTTGCTCAAGAAACTGAGCTGCTTTTTGGAAGCTGGCGCATCAGCAGAGCCCCGCCAAGCCTTAATGTTGGACCTCCTTTATTAATAGTACTCGCTATTGTAGAAAACTTTTCCTAATTCAGAATCCTGTGACTGTTTTAGGGGTTCTCTATTGTGGCAAGATTTTTTGTCCACCCAAAAAAAGCAAAAAAAAAAACGCAGAGCTTCTTTCTTCGCTTTCTGGATTTGCTCGGGCTCAGGCTAAACTTGCTAAGCCTTGGTAGCTCCTTTTGAGCTGGAGGCTGGTTCTGAGCTAGAATTTGGAAATTGTTTTCTTGAAGTGGCCCCCAAACCACCAAATTTAAGATAACTTCTTTACAAAAAAAGTGCGGGCAAACAGTCGCACAAAGCACAAGAGGCCCAGATCCTCTTTAATGCGACTGTTTTGGGGTCCTCTTTAGTGTCCAGTAGTTTCGGGGTTGTTGAAAACTGAAAACCAAAGCCTCAGCATCTTACTTTTAAAGAAGGGGGCTCATCCTAAGCTCTCCCCAGCTCAAAGGTTAAAGGCCTGAGATCTAGGAAATCAATTTTGCAAGTTGTTCCCAAACCATCAAATTTAAGATAACTTCTTTGCAAAAAAGTGCGGGCAAACAGTCGCACAAAGGGGGGTGCCCGCAAAAGGCCCAGATCCTCTTTAATGCGATTGTTTTGGGGCCCTCTTTAGTTAGTGTCCAACTGGTTTCGGGGGTTGCTGAAAAAAAACGACCCTTTGCAATATTAAAATAGAATTGGCAACGCTAAAGTAAGTACTGGGGATCTGAGAGTTAGCCTTGGCAATACTAAAATAGAATTGGCAACGCTAAAGTAAGTACTGGGGATCTGAGAGTCAGCCTTGGCAATACTAAAGTAGAATTGGCAATACTAAAGTAAGTACTGCCCCTCCCGGACCCCCAGGATCTCCCTAAAGAGAGTCCCGCCGACTGGTTCCACTGTTCCATGGGGGGGGGATCACACTAAACAGAGTCCTACATGAAATATGTACTGTTGTTCTCGATAAACAAATACCGTGACATCTGCCTGCTTGCTTTGCTCAGGCTTTTTGGAAGCCAGTGCCGCACTTCTTGGTCAAGCGCAGGCGCATCAGCAGAGGCCTTGAATATGTACTTTTGTTCTCGATAAACAAGTATACTGGGACATCCGCCTGATTGCTTTGCTCAGGATACTGAGCTGCTTTTTGCAAGCCAGTGCCGCGCTTCTTGGCCAAGTGCAGGTTTGAATCCTTCTGGCGCATCAGCAGAGCCCAGCCAAGTGGCCGTAACTGACTGGTGGCATCCTTGTGGCGCAACTGACTGGTTTGCATCCTTGTGGCGCAGAGCCCAGCCAAGTCGCCGTAACTGACTGGTTTGCATCCTTGTGGCACGTCAGCAGAGACCAGCCAAGTGGCCGTAACTGACTGGTTTGCGTCATCGTGGCGCACCAGCAGGGCCCAGCCAAGTGGCCTTAACTGACTGGTTTGCATCCTTGTGGCGCATCAGAGCCCAGCCAAGTAGCCGTAGCTGACCCGGCGTGGATGGACCCGATGTGTCCTCTTCCAAAAAAAAAGGACTTCCTACAATAAAATACATGGACTGATTGTAACTATGTGTTGCTCACATAAGCTACTCAATTGCGCACCTTGCGTGAAGGAGACATGCCTTTTTTGGGTTATACAGACCTGTCATGTTTTTTGCTGTTTGGGGTCGAGGCTGGTGTAATTTTGAATTGGCTTTTTACACCAATCACTGAATCATCCAAATTATACCATGTTCATTCAACCAGCCTCCAGGGAAAAACTGAACAAAAAGCCCCCGCCCCTTCCCTGCCCAAACAAACGCTGCCAGCGCTCTGATCTTTCGGCCTCTTTCGGCCCCATGCCTCCAAGCCCAACACCGCCACTGGCGTTGACTCCTCCAGCGCCCGGCTGGCCACTTCCCGCGCCACCCGCCGCAACACCTGAGCGCCCACCCATCGACGTCTGTGGCGTTGGTCTCGCTTGTTGAAGTTTGTGCCCTGCTCAACCAGGTGCAAAGTAAAACTGGAAGTGAAACCCACCCGGTTTCCCTATCGTGACACTTACCCATTTGATTCAATTAAAACCCTAGGGTCCCCCTTTTGGAGAGTTGAATCAACTGTTGAGTCCACCTTAGGGTAATGAACTCATGGGACAAAACATTTACCCGCTATGGTTCAGAAATGGAGCCACTCACTACATGACCTTGCTGTGCCGAAGTTGTTCGGTTGGTTGCCCGTTTTAGCTGACTCGAAAGGTTGACCGCCGCCGATTGATAGACCCTACCCCCATAGCCTAAAGTAGAAAGACTTTTAGAACCTTTCTGAGACTTCAGGCAATGAGGGGGTTCCCAGTTTACCCATATGTTCCCCTTGTATACGAAAAAAAGAAAGAAAACAAAAAAACGGGCAAAAAGGTGATGTCTTAAATGGGCGGAAAAGGTAAATGTTGGGATTGGAAAATGGTGAGGGCCCGGGGACCACATTTGCGACTGTCAAGTGAAAACCCAAAGCCGGGGTTGCCATCCACGTTGCCCCTGTGGGGCTCCCGCGATCGATCGAGGCGTTCGCCTGGACCCGCGCCAGCGCTGAGCCGCAGCGCAGCGCCAGGTCCTGCGCCACCGCCGCCGCACGCCGCAGCTTCCTCAGGCGACATCTACACGTCCGCCCGTGAACCTGACTGAGGACCTCTGGTGAGTTCCATGTTAGTGCACAGCAGGATATGGAATGGCTTGGATTGGTGAAAAAGGGTGGTTTCCGGTTTACACCTCTACAAGACGAGGTTCAACCCCCCCGCCCAACCTCCCTGATCAAAGAAGCTCACCAACGGCCTGTCTCACAACGAAGGCTACGGGGCTTTGCCCCTAGAGCAGTGAACTAAAGAAAAGTCAAGACAAACCGAATGGACATACAGGGGGGCCAAAAGGAAGAACCAAAGGGGGAAGAGGTGGTTCAGCAACGGAGCCCCCACTGAGAACTCCTCATACGCGGTAACTTTGACTGAGAGTGCAGCATCCTGCTTAAGGTAAAGTAGCCTTTTAATTGTGCGTTTCAGATACCAGAGGGAAACAGCACACAGCCAGCTGAAAGACGTGACATACACAAGTTGGGTAGGTTCCTTGCGGCTTACCTTAAAGCCTTCACATCCCAGTCGGGTTGAGGCAAATCCGAGCCGATGGAACCGGAGCTTCTCCTCTCCCGGCGAGCTTCTTGGAGGCCGGGTTCGCGGCCTGCGGGCTTCGCCCCAAGGCAGCCAGAAGCTCTTCCTGGCGCAGCCGGGCGGCCTGCAGCTTCTCCTCAGCTCGTTAAGGCGCCCGCTTGGCGGGTGGTTTAAAGGGAAACCAACTGGAAAACCCACCGTTTCTTGGGGTCCGCCTATATTGAAGCATTTGTGTTCCAGAGGAAGCCAAAAGTAAAAGGTCGCCAGTTCTTCCAATTCTGAGACAAACCCATTTGAGCCACAAATCAAAACCTTCAGCTTAAGGAGGATTTAATGTTGGGTAGCGGTTTATGAAAGGGTAGGCTATACAACAAAGTGCTCACCCAAGAATGTATCCTTCTCTGAACATAGGAAGGGTAGGGAAGTGGCCACCCGGGGGGGGGGTGAAATATGATTCTGGAACAACTCTAAACCACTACTAAGCTACTAGTAACAAATACTAAGCCAGTGCTAACTACTACTAGTATTACTAGTAACCCATACTAAGCCAATCAAAAAGACGGCAACACCAACTGAGGCCCGAACCAGCCAAACTCTGTATGACACCCTGGGCTAAAACAGCTTCCAACATGATGGTGCAAAGTAGATGAATAGTGAACCAATACTAAGCCAGCAAAATTAACTAAAGGCCCAAACAACCAAACTCTTTATGACACCCTTTCCTAAGCAGCTTCGCAAACAGACCAAGGGCTGGTAAGGGAATAATGATGTATGCTTAAGGGCAGTAGAGAGAGAGAGAGAGAGAGAAAGAGAGAGCACAACCTTCCTGGGCCATGTGCAGAACAAACACTAAACCAATTCTAACCAGCACTGGCCAGCTCAAAGGAAGACTAAACCAATATTAGACCAATTCTAAGGACGACTGAGCCAGTACACAGGAATACTCAACCAGTACCCAATCAATACTATACCAATTCTAAGCAGTGTGAAATACTAAGCCGATTCTAAACACATTACCCGACAGAAAGAAGCGCGGGTATCCACAACTATTTACAGTTGGGACTGTCCCCCAACAGTCCGAGGAGGGCACATGGAAGACATGTCCGATGTCGAAATCCCTGTTGACCATGACAAATGCCATGAAGGCAACGTGGAATTTCAAAACAAACGCCAAAGCAAACACTTTTGCTTGCCATGCGGGGGCAGATCACCCTGTAGCAAAGCTTCTTTGAGGTTTCGGTGCCTATGAGCGCTGGTCAGCGTGTGCTGCACTGACCGCCGCAATGCCCAAAGCTCCCTTTGCCTGGTCTCATGATCCGCCCGCAGCTCTTGCGCCAGCCACCGCGGCAAACACACCGACGACTCCAAGGGAACGGTCGGCAGCTGGTGCAACTCCTCGGCCGCACGAACGTTCGCCTCGGTCTCGCAGTTGTCATTTCCCCCGTCGCCCTCGGTCGGACCGAAGATCTGCCACCGTGACAGGACTTCCGACAGCGACGCTTCGGGCACATCGGAGGGTTCGGGCACGGGCAACTGAGCTCTTTCAGGGAGAGCGTTGACCTCCAGGAATGAGACGTAACCACTCATGGCCACAAAGCCGTCGCATGTGTTCCGCTCAACTTTATCGCGGGAACATTGTGCAGCAATAAAGGCACATTGCACCCCAGGCCATGCCACGCAAGATTGACTCGGATGGCTCACATGCCGCTCAGCATACCACCTTCTGAGCATAAGGCTCCACATGACTTTTGCATCTACTGAGTTGGTGTTGAGTTGGTGTATTCCTCCCCGAAGCATGAGCTGTTGAGATGGCACCTGCTGCGGCAAAGCACCCTCCAAGGCAGAAATAGTCAGCTACTACAACATGTTTCTGGCGCCTAGCCATCGCAACAACACAAACCGGCAGCTGTTCACCACACCCGCAGGAAGCAAACTTCAGCGAGAGCGCCGGCCTGCAAAGCAACACGACCCAAGGTTGGGGACTCTCGAGATTTCCTCGGCGTCCTGAGGACATGAACACAGAGTCACTGGCTTCGTCCTGTGGGGCATAATCGCACGCCTTGCCAGTTGCTGCTTTTCAGAAGCTTTTTGAGTGGAATTGGTAGGCCGATTCCCTCACCTACACTTAAAGTCACTTAATTTGCTTCCCAACTGGCCCTTTATAGGGGAGGCTAAAATCAGCTGGGATAGCGGAGGAGCAGGGAATAGGGAGGATTCCAGCCACTTCCAGCTACCTTTACTGTAGATTTCACTGGACTCCATGAACTTCTAGTGCTTCCCTGCTCATCCCTTGTCCCTGCTAATTGTCCAGCATGACTTGAGCAGAGCGCAAAACGCTCGGGGTTGGCAGGTCCTCTTTTGCCCCTTGGATGTTCGGCGACCTCAAACACAGACGCGCGCGAGGAACAAGAAGCGCTAAACTTGGATTGGGCACAAAACTCAGGAGACTTTCAGATCAATCTTTGCTCTCTTTGGGCAATCTCCATCAAGACCGCGCCTGTTCATCCAAACAAGAGTTGGCAGAAGGGGGGAACCTCCGTGCCCTCAGTTGGAGGTCCCGATGAGCGCATGGCTCTGTGGGGTACTGCCGCGGTTGCGACGCACTTGGGCTAGGTCTTGCAGCTCCTTGGCCATACAGTCTTGCAATCGGGGAACCCAAGGGATGGTCCATAAAAAGAGGACCAGCATGCAATGCCATACAGCGGAATCTTGCAATCTTGCAAAAACTGCCGTGGGCCCCCTCCAAGTCCCAACCCCTGCCCCACCTTTGCAGGTAACGCCATGCTTTGAGATGCTCGAGCTTGCTGTTGGGTCTGACGTCCTTAGGTATCTGGCTTCCATCAACTCAGCACAAAGAAAGCAAACAATCAAACTAACAAACCAACACACAGACGGCGAGCAAGCGAACAAGCAAGCAAGCAAACAAGCAAGCAAACAAGCAAGCAGACAAACAGACAAACAAAACCAACATATAGCCGAAAACAATCCAAACAAACACAACACAAAAACGGGAGCAAACCAGACCAAACTAGACCACCCACACAAAACAACTTATAGAGGCCAAGGGACTGCGTGCTTGGGCCTCCGAGAGCTGCATGGTGAGACGCCGCTGCTGCAGGCGAGCCGCGTGCAGCTCCTAACGGGTTTGGTGCGGTGGACGGGGGCGACCTTCCCCGAAGCTGTGCTTCCAAAAGGTGGGGTTCAAATCCGGCCCCAAGCCACCAATCCTCAAAGAACCGACCAAGGGGTACCCGATATTTTGGGGTGGCAAAACAGGGAGTTGGACCCCCAGAATGGCGGTTGTCCTTCTGGCTTCCCTCTAAAGCCCAACCAAAAAGGGGACAAAGCCTCGAACACAGACACACAGACACACAGACACACAGACACACAGACACACAGACACACAGACACACAGACACACAGACACACAGACACACAGACACACAGACACACATGTTGTTTGTTGGGTTGGTTTGATTTGGTTTGCTTTTGTTTGGTTGGTTGGCTACTTGAATGGTTGGACTGGTCGGCTGTTACCTTCGGCTGTTTGGATTGGTTGGATGTTGGCTTTTTGGTTGGTTGGTCGGTTGGCAATATGTTTGTTTTGTTGTCTGCTTGTTGGGTTGGCCTGCTTTTACCTTTGGAATTCCTTCTTTGGTTGGTTGGTTGGTTGGTTGGTTGGCTGGCTGGCTGGCTGGCTGCTTGGCTGCTTAGTTGCTTGGTTGCCTGGTTGCCTGGTTGCCTGGTTGCTGGTTGGGTTGGGTTGGGTTGGGTTGGGTTGGGTTGGGTTGGGTTGGGTTGGGTTGGGTTGGGTTGGGTTGGGTTGGGTTGGGTTGGGTTGGGTTGGGTTGGTTGGCAACTTGTTTGTTTATTGGGCTGGTTTGGTCCGGGTGATGGATCTAAGTTTGGGTAGAGTTGTACCAAGTTTTGTTGGTTGGGTTGGTTGTTCGGCTGGCGTCTGGCTGGCTGGATAGTTGGTTTGCTGCAAGCAGTTGGAAGAAACATCACGCTGCATCTCATTGACCATCGCAGTCTTTGTTGTTGCTCTCTTCTTGCTCCAATGGTCCAATGTGTCCATTGCTCTGCTCTGCAGGGATATTGAAAACACTTTGACGCGACAGCAACGATTCAAGTCCTGCTCCAATTCAATCTCAAGCTGCTTCTGCTCCGTCCTGTTCACAAGAATCTCGCGGGGCCCAGACTGAATTTCCATCTCCCACTTGCCAAAGGTGTCACAGGCATCATGCCCTGAGCTTCATCGTCATGCTTGCCCTGAGCTGCGCGCAACACCCGCTGCAGATCTTCAACGTCTTGCCTCCAAGCCGCCAGGACGAAGCTGACGAAAGTGCAAGATTTGAAATGATTCAAGCTGTGCGCTGTGGGTTGCCGCCTACCAGCAGGGTAGACGCCTGGCGCGTTGAGACGCAAGACGTGTGTTGCAGGTTGGATGGCATTGGGAGCTGCCCGGCCTTGCGAGCGCATCTGATCTGCCATGGCCTCACACACTGTCAGCATGGCACTGAGGTACAAGAACCGAAAACTGCTTTTGGATTACACAAGAGCAAGTTTTGGCTGCGCTCTACAAACTTGCAGGTTTGGCCTCTGTTGGCACCCGGACATCGGGCAATGCAAATAAACTCCTAGGGCCTTTCCCAAGGCCCGAGACATCGGCCTTACCGCCTTACCCCAAAATCCCGAACCGCCGCACGCCCACTCGGGGCCGGGGCCAGTGCTGCAGCCTCCAAGGCACAAGGCCCCGTGGAGGCCCAGAGGCTTGGCGCCAGCCTGCGGCATCCCGGCGAGCCCCGCTTTGCATTGCTGATCCCTTTAGGGTTTGGACACTTGCATGTGTGTCGTTTGGTTGTTACGCTCCTTGGGTTGCTTCAAAAACCCGAAGGCCAACCAAACATTGCCGGGTTCTCTCTCTCTTTCTCTCTTTGCTGGTTGTTGAGTGCTCCACACCCCCCTTCGAAGAGCCCATACGCCAGGTGCCTGGAGCAGCCGCGGCGCAAGTGGCGGGCTGTGAAGTGAAGAGCCTCTGCGGGTGATCCGGGAACCACAGAACCATTCCCTTCCTTCATCTTTCCTTCATCTTAAAAGAAAAAACGCAAGATGTTGCAACTGTGGACCCGCCCCCGCCCCGATTTTGGGGTTGCACACTGCCACACCTCAGCCCGGCCGGGTGCCTCTGCCAGCATCCGTGACCAGCGCCGCGCCGCGCTGAGCGCTTCGAACTCGAAGGAGGCCTGGGGGTCACGAGCCAAGTGGAAGCTCCCGGCCTCTCTCCCCAATGCGTTTCGCGCGTAACAAAAAAATCAGCTGACTTCTTCTTTCCCATGTCAAGAGGTTTCACTGTCTACCATGCGAAGCATGTAACAAAGTAGACCTTGCGTCCAACAAATGTGTTAGAAGATGGGAACTAAGAGGACGCCCCAAACAAACACTATCTGATTGAAACTGAGGGAACATCCGGACAACTGTGCACACGATGTGGTCATTTTTGGGGGGTCCCTTGCGATCAAATGTTCTTTCACTCATCTTGTGAACCTCCACAAAACTGATAAACTGATAACACTGTCTGGTGCAAAAAGGCAAGCAAACCACAATGTGTTGCAAAAGCACCATTCAAAACAAAGCAGCTCCAGCGCATGAAAGAACCCGGAGGTCCTAAGCTGTGACACGCTTTTCTTACCCAGGCTCCCCACAAACACAGGCTGGATGCTATCTGCCAGCACCTCCACAGCATCCTCCAGTCATGGCCCTTCAAACTCCGATGCGAAGGTCCCCTAACAACTCTCCCCCCAGGTGGTGTCCCTTCTGGATTCCTCTCAAAAAGCAACTGTTGATCGAACTTCTGCATGAGGTTCCAAGGGGCATGGCGTGAGTTATTGCATGTGTGCAACACCCACCCGCTGTCCTCCAGCAAGGGCTGGCTGTCCTCGCTCAGTCCAAGTCAGGCACCGCGCACAGCTTTCTGGCTCTTTGCGCTCTTTTCTCGCGAGCAAATCGCCAATCCATCGCTTTCTGGGGTACATAGGGAATACTTTGTTGAGATGCTGCTGCTCATATTTTCTAGCTTGCCGTAAATTGTATTTCATGTTTTTTTTTGGAGGAACCCCAAAACCCCACGCCACGGAACGGACACTCCCGAAGCCGAGTCTTTGGGCTTCATAGCCGAGTCTTCCGGCTCGAGGCAAATTCTGCCTGAATTCGCCCGCGCAGAGAGCCAAGGAGGCGCGCCTCCGGCGGCAAAAATAGAAGTCCTTCTTGTTTAGCTGGCTTCTTCGGCACCGGAACGGGTCCAAAAGGGAACCGGCCATGGCACCTTAAATGTATCCCGGCCTCCTCGGCCACTACTGCAGAGACAGCACCACACAGGGCGGAACCATGATCGTCAGGTGCCTACACACAGGGATGCCTTCAAATGCTGGCTACCCCGAGGTGACTTAAACTCAGGGGGTTCCCGTTTGGAAAATCGATTAGGTTTAGGCCTACCTTGGGTAGCCAACAAACCCTGCTAGCACACATGAACATTGGCATGAGCTTTGTTCACCATGCGATGCTGTGCCTGCTAGGGTTGATTAATCCGGAGTCATGAGCTATCGCGTGCCTCTAAGTCGTCCTGCGCCTCTTTGAGCCACTTTGAAAGCAGTTTGCAGCTCTGGCGGCGCTGAGAGGCGGTCAGCTGGATCGCCTTCAGTTGATGCAGACGCACGCGCGTGCAAGAAAAACATGCTGCATGCTGGGTATGGGGTACAGTAGGTGTCAAAATGGGACACCACAAATGGTGTGGTTTTCCTTTTGGTTCCTTTTAAGCCAAATTGGAAAGGGTATAACATTTCGAGTGGCGGATTTGGAGGACCTCTGTTTGCAACAGGCAAGTCTGCCATGTTTCCAGCAAAGCAGAAACCGAAGCCCTGCACAGTTTCTCCAAGCAGCGCCCCCAATGGCCACAGCCTGCAAGAGGTCCACGTCCATCACCAGCAGCGACGCTAGAGCACGCAAACTCCCCGCCTGCGAAACCAGCTGAGCCAAGAGGTCTCCGCGGCAAATCAACATGGAACCCAAACAAGCGGTCCCAAAAAAGAAGCCCTCTCTGAAACTTGTGGGCACCATGTGGACAACTATCCGTATGTCCCTCCAGAGCATGCTGGAAATATGTTGACCGTATCTCGTTGGCCTTCCATGAATGTTCTCGATTCCGGAAGCTAATGGTTCTGATAGACTGGCTTGCCCAGGGTGTGCGCCGGGTGGTTTGTTTAAGACCATCCCCACAAAACATGAGCATTCTTTTTTGGACAAACGGTATCTACTTCACTCCTCCTGGGCGTCGCTGGGCACCAGAAAGGGCCATTCGGTGCAAGCAGGCTGCCAGCCCAGCTTGCCCAGAGCTGCCCTTCGCGCCTCGGGCGCCAATAAAAGACAAGAGGAAACTCAAGAAACCCATCAATTTTCAGGCGTTGCCTTCGAAGCTGACGTTTGACTCTCCAAAGAGCCCCGCCTGGCAGAGTTCGGGGGAGTCAGACTCCAGCACCTCACTCCCCAGCAGGACCAAGGCCTCGGGAGGAGGCCACCTTCAAGCCCCCAGCACAAGGGGCTAAAGAGACACAACGGCGGTCCTATCATGACACAATTGGGGCTTGACTGTCCCCCCGTCTGATGTAAGCAGCTGCAAAATTACAATTGCCCTTTGACAGCACCCCGCCCCGCCGTTACTGAGTTGGGCTCTTTCTTGCACCCTCCTTCCAATAATCATGGAAGTGGAAGGGGGGGTTGAACCCTGACTTGAATGGTTGTTCTTTGTGGCTGTGTTGGGACGGAAGCTTTAACTGAAGAGGACCTGTGTTGTTTCTAAGAGGGTTCAAGCCCACAGGCGTTGTCACTTCAGCCTGTGCCCCAGGTTTGCCATGCTTTCCCCATCCCTGTAACAGAGACGTTTTCCCGTGGACCTTCGAACGACATAGCCAACAGCGCCTCTGCGTGTACCGAGCCGCGCCACGGAATCGCGCGCCGAATCGCGCGCCGAATCGCGCCTCGTTGAAAGGATTCGCTGACGGCACCTTTGGAGGAATGCCGTGCTGCACCAGCAGCTGGGCGTCGGAGGCCTCACAAGAAGAAGAAGAAGTGCGAGTCAGAGTAGGGGTTTGAACCGAAACATGTGTTGTCCAAAAATGTTGTGTATTCCAACCCCCCCCCGCCCAAAAACAAAGAAAAACGGTTTGCCATTTGGTTTCAGACATAGCGGTTTTCCTTTTGGTTCCCAAACATTAAGGTTTTCCTGCTGCTTCCTCTTTGTACGAAGGACCTTCAAACAACACGCACATCAGCTTTCTTGTAATTGGTTGTTTAGATTGGAGGCTTGGAGGCTTGGGGGGGAAGACGAAACAGTGCCTCAATCTAACTCAAAAAGGGAACAAGACCCCCCCAATCACAACTCGCAACCAAAACAGCGTCAAGCAAGTGAGAGCTACTTCAACAGGTCTAAAATTTGTGTGTTTTTTCGAGCGTATCCTGAAGGTCGGTTGAAAGGGAAACCAAACAGGAAAATCCCACCCAGTTTTGGGGGGGTCCCCTTTGACACCTTTCACACGCGCCTCTGAGTACAGATGGTTAAGCTCCTCCCCTGCCATGATGCGGCGGTCTGCCACCAAACCCACGGCGTTGTCAAACTCCTAGGCTCCAGCGGCTCCGCCCGAATAGGGCTGGATTTCTGGGACCCTGCTTTTTGCCTCCAAACGTTATGGGACTCCGAACAAGTACCTGGAGCTGGCTGGGAAAAACCGCTCGCAGCACATCTGAATCTGACGGGCCAATGCAAAGATATGAATTCCAGCGAGGCAAACCCGTGGGGATGCATCAGGCTCGAGCACCTCTCCTGAAGGCGACAGCTCCACAGCGGGTCATCGCCTGAAAGCCACGCAACTCAGAGGCAAAATCAAATGACAGGTCCCGCAGAGGCTCCCACTGTTGGAGGGACTTGAAGGGAAACATGCAACCAACCACTGCTTTGTGTTCCCTATTTCGGGAAACACGCGTGGATCCGTAAAGTCAAGCAAAACTTTATGCCAGGTAGCGGTTTTGTGGGATCCAGTGGTTGAAGAGGTCGAGGTATGGCACCAGCGACAGGCTATCCCTGCGACATACGCGCGTGACTTGCCCCTATTCTGCTTGGCAAACTTGATCACGGATCCTTCACCTTTCGGGCAAGCCCCCGTAATCCCCCCGTATTGCGAGACCGCCCATGAAAGCAATTTTGAGATCACCTCAACACTTTCGGGAAGCCAGACCTATGCCCGTCCTCAGCGCGAAAGCCCGCGTCCACACCATGCCCAGCGCCCAGCGGAAGTCGCTGTCCGAAAACTCAGCCCTCGATGCTAGACACGAGGTGAAGCGCCGCTTCGCCTTAGGCTCCAACCCCAATCAGGTTTCCCACCTCAGCCCGTGCAAGAGCTGGTCTCTCAGTCAATGACTGGAGGCCCTGTGGTGGACATCATTTAGGTGAGGAGGAGGGTTCACCGACCTAACCCGGCCTCTGCATGCAAATGGCGCAGGGTGCCACACAGCTTCACATCCCAGCCACGCAATGGGTGCAGCGCAGGCAGGCCCGGCAGCAAATCTAAGTAGCGGCGGAAGGCAGACCCTTGCGGCAAGGAGCCTGGCGACGACCCGCTGCCCATACAGCACTGCCCTTGCGGCAGCTCCTCTGCTACCCTCCCGCCCAGCTAGAGAATCTGCATGAACAACTAACCAGCTACCAACCTTGGACCAATTTATCTACCACAAGCCACGAATTATAGAGAGGTTTGAAGCGGCCAACTGCACACGGGACAGACCTACCGCGCCTCCCCGACGACACTCCAGCAGCCTCCCGGCCAGCGCGGCCACAGGCTGAAGCGCTTCGTCCGGCGCCGGCGGCTGCCACGGCCACCGCTCCTCCGAAGTCGGCGTCCTCAAAACCAAAAAACTGGGGCTTCCGTCTGTCCTCGCGGAAATGGACACGCAGCACGGGCTATGGGAACTACTGATGACGAACGTGTACTTCTGAAGCATGCTGGAAGCGGCCAGCGAAATTGGAATCCCCTTCCCTGCCTGCACCCCATTCCTGCACTTGTTCGAAAGAAGCAGGGACCGCCTCGCTTGCCTGATGGAATGTCGCATACTATTGGCACGCAAACCTGGCGGGGCCAAGCTCTTGAATGCCACGGCACAGTGGCACCTGCAGGCATAAGCGCTGAGGAATGCGCAACACCAGCTCCCCCTCCTGCAAGAGAGTGGGTCCAAGACGCACATTTGGATAACATGAACACGCCATCCGAACAGGACACGCAGAGCATCTTCCCACAATCTCAGGTACTGACAGCATTCAGAAAGGTTGACATGTCGGAGAAAGGTTGACCGGTTACCTGCAACGTCGAACGTCGACCCTGGGAACTCCTCAAAGCTCCGAGTGGCAAACACGCCCCGTGCAGCCGAACTCTGCGGCATGTCCGCCGCCCGCAGGCCCGGCAGCTCCGCACCTTCTGCGGACAAAGCGGCCTCGAAGTTTCGCAGCTCCTGGGCTGAGTCATCCACCCAAATAAGGCAAAATCAGATGTTGCCCTCGCGGTTTGGATTGCAGCTCCACATAAAAGTCATACCCACGCCCTGCAGCTTACGGCGCCTAGCTCTCGCGCTTGAGGTGCTGTTTTCTGTTGATTCTGGAGTTGTATTCGGCGTCGGCATCTCTCTGCTCACCCTTTGAAACTTATCCGGCTCAAGCAAGAACACCTCCGAGCGTTTGCTGCATGTTGTGATGAAGCTCAACACTCTTGGAATTGCTTCTTGACGGTCGCCTCCGGTCGTGTCCGTTCATGATTTAAAGCTCCTGAAACAAATAGCACTTGCAAAATGCGAGGGAGGCTCGCGTTTTTTTTTCCTGCTTTGACTAATCCCTTTCTGATCAATCACTCACTCTCTGACGCTAGAGGAGTTTGCGAAACATGGCCTTTGCTCTTCCTTTCAAACCAGCGATAGCAAAGCGAGTGCTTTAGCTTCATGGAATCCTCACCCCACAAAACTAAAATCACAGTCCATGCGCTTGAAAGCCCTGTCCTGAAAGGAGGCACGGCCACACGTGCGCCGCTTTGTATGCAAGCAAACGATAGCACAGGCCCAGTGCCTACAGCATCTGCCAGGCTTCATGTTCGCACAGGTGTTCGCATGGGTGGCCTTCATGGAGAATTCCCAATGGCACTTTGGCCATGCTAGCGACAAGGACCGAGTTGGCTGCACCGCTGCCATGTGGCCATGACACAGCCGCGCGGCATGGCGTAGCGGCGTGGCGGCAGTGCTGAAGCCCAAGCGAAACGCGAGGAATCTGTGGCAACCTGAGGCGATCTGATACACTCGGCCGGTCCTTCGGATCCGCTTGCCCATCTGTACGGTCCCTCGACAGGCAACAATTCGTTGGAAGGCACGCTTTTGAGGCCCCGTCACCAACCCTAGGCTCCAGGCATCTGACCTCGGGAGTCAAGGCTTTCAAGTTGGCCATCGGCCAACTCTCACGGGTTGAGTTCCCCGAGCTGCGAGCTGCTTGCAGCCTCAAGTTCAACTTGACGGGTCGGGGCTTAGACTGGCTTCGCTAACTTGCCTGCCTGCTTTGCATCCCGAGTCTCAGATCCAAGTTGGCTACCAACATCTCCAGCCAGTGTTGAGCCCCCTGCTCGCGCTGCATCCCGCACCTCCTGGGCCTCCTGAGCCTCTCGAGCTTCCTGAGCCTTGGGCCAATTCTGCTGCAAAAATCCCTGCAGGGATCCCCGTACGAGTTTGGAAAGGTCCCGTAAGGAAAATCCTCGAGTTTCATTTGTGCCAAGCTTGGCCCCCCAGAAACCAACAGCTCTGCAGGGCGGCTCAAGCTCCCCCTCAAGCCCGAGGCTCCGGCCTCCAGCTGCTGCCCCCTTGGTTTCAGGCGAGAGACGGATGGCCGAATTGCTCGGGAAGGTTCCAAAAACATCTGGGACCCTGGGCTCATGCCGGCTTGTGTAGGGAGGTAATCATACCTCAAAGTGAATGGTTTCTCTTTGAACTTCAATGGACCAGACCTTCAAAACTTGGGGAGGGGGTCTGAAAGCGCCGCGGGTCCCTGTGCTCGGCCGGGAACCGAGGCCGCGGCTCCCGCGCCAGGCGCGCGCTGAGGCGCAGCTCCACTGCCAGGCGCGCCACGGCCTCGGAGAGGCCCGCGCCGAGGCAGGGGTCCGACCTCGTCGACTTCATGCGCTGCCGGGGGTGGGGCGGGGTGGGGTGGGGCGCGGTGGGGTGGGGGTAGAGTGGGGTGTGGGGAGGAGGAGGCAGTGAAATGGTTGCAAGATGCTACTAACTCTCCCACCCAGAAAGCATGGAAGTGCTCGATCAAAGCAATCGACAGGAGAAAGGCCCCAAAACACGCAGGAGCGAGGATGTCAATGCGATTACTCTTTACACTTCCTCCCACCAACATAGCGGAGGGCATATGCATCTCATCTGGCAGATTAAAATGGAAGCAGCTGAAAACTGGTTGATTGATCACGTTGCCTGGTCTGATTGGCTTACCCGGAAACACATCAGTGAGCTGCACTGGCTTGAGCGTGTGAGATGCTGGGCTGCTGGCTGTGCGGGGCTCAGTGTGCTTTCTTCCGCCTCCATCGCAGACCGCGGAGCCTTGCACACAGCGGATACGGCAACCCTTGGCAAGGTCAAGCTCTCGAAATCTGAAGGCAACTGCTGTGCAAAGCGCCCCAAGGCCATTGAAACTGCATGGCCGCGCATGCAGTCTCTTGCTCAACCAGAAGGCCCAACAAAGGGCCGCCGGCCTGCCGCCGAGGCCGCGGGCTGCCTGCCATGCCAGACGCTCGTTCTGCAGTTGGCACAGAGTCCGCGCTTTTAGGCTTAACGATGCTTCAACTGCGAGCTTGCCAAAATGTCACCTTGAACTACCCCGCATCAGCCCTGCCACACCTTCCCTAGCTGCAGCAGGGGCATCTGGAGTCCTCTCAACTCCTCTGCAAGTGGGGTTTGCTTGGCTGCTTGACTTGGACAATCCCTCGCAAAAGCGAACCCTCCTTGTTCTTCCCACGACCTTGCAGGGACTAAGTCGCGCAACGATAAGCTGACTCCGTCGGCAATGAGGCACGCAAATCTCTGGCCCATGCCCCGCCTATCCAGATTTGGAGGCGTGGGTGGCCTGGCCCCGGGTCGGACATCACGGCGCCCAGTGCAAGCCAGCGGCTAGCAGCTTGGGCCGCCCGCGACGGAGGCAAAGGCGCTTCGGGGCCCCAGGATGATGGCGAAAGCGGACCCAGCGCCCCTCACGCACCCATCAGCAACCGGGCTGCGTCATGACTGAGTCAAGATCAAATGCCCACGCCTGGTCTAAGTAGCCCAGGGTGCGGCCTGCAAGTGGCATAACCGACGCCCGCGCCCATGGGTTTGGCTGAAAGGCCCGCGCGAAGCTGGTGACTCAGCTTGCCTGAAGCGCTGGACAAACGAAACTTCGCTAGCCTACAGCCGTGCCTTGCCAATAGCTCAGCCCCAAACAGCTCTGGGTCCTCCAAGAACTCCTGGAGCCTGTGCAATCCCGAGGCAACGTGCAAACGCCACCTGCCAGAAAGCTGGGCGCCCTGCGTGACGCTCCGCGGTCGAGCTTCTGGCGCGAGGGCACATGGGGAAATGCCCAAAGACATCTCCGAAAGCATCGTGGCTTAAGTTGACATTATTGGGGGATAACTCGAACTCGATTTCAGCCCACAACTTGAGTGAAACCCCGGCCTTCTGCCATAGCTCTGCGCCAATGGGCGTCTGTCCGGGGGAGCACCTCTTGGACTGGACACGTGGCATCACCTCTTGTGGAACTGCGTGGGGATGCTCATGGTTCGTCTACAGCTGCTACCGCGGCTAAGCGGCTTGCACAAAGAGACCTTGTGCTATGTAGGTCACACTTTGCGCCTGGCACTTCATCTTGCTTTCACCCAAACGGTGGGCTGAGCCAAGAAGCGAAGAGTCCAAGATGCGGTGGCACGAGCGCACACTGGCGCATTTTCCCCCCTTGGGCCCTGCGAGGCAGCCGGAGGCAGCTCATACCTGACATCGGCACCAGCAAAGATGCATGTTTGCAAAGGCCCAGCGCCATTTTGCTGTAATGTTGGCAGGAGTTGCTGGGCGCAGAAATCCACACCAGGCCTCGCGCTGAGGCTTGCTTGGTCGACATGGCGAAATGGCGCCGAAACCTGCAGGGTTCACAGCGACTTCTCTCCCGCTTCGTCGGACATGAGGCCCACGGCCCAACGCCGACAAAGCAACCAGCCAGGCGCCCTTTTGGATGTGCGCCGTTGATTGGGACCCTCCTCTAAAAGCAATCTGTATTCGCCAAGGGTGCAGCCTGAGGTGCGCCTTGCCGAAAGCCCGCTCACAACAGCATCCGAAAAACGTGCTGCTGCTTTGGTCAGCAAGCGCTTGACCAAGCCGCGCACTTCATGTTGCCAGAAACAAACATGCCGAGTTGAAGTAGCATCCAGACGGGAGTAGTTCAGCTCTAACCAATGCCTCTGGCCGTGTTGGCTCCGCTGTTCCCAGCACTGCACACTGCAAAGCTGGTCATAATCCGGATGAGAGCTCAGCCCCGCGAAAGCTCTGCTCTGGCTCCTGCCAAGGCCAGATCGCAGGGTCGGTTCGAAACCTCCCCATCATGAATACTGGCAAAGGCTGCCTCACAAAAGGAAAGCCCTGTGTGCACGTTGCTGCAGTACAAACATCACAAGATCAAAAGGACACTGACCTTGAATTTGGGGCAAAGAAAGTGCTGTTGGACCTCACCAGGCGGGGACATATTTTCTAGACCTCTGCTTGAAGAAATCCAGTGTCCTCGCCTCATGGTGCTGCTCTAGAGCCATATCCATCATAGGCCCACCTGCCACCCCATGTGCAACCAAACACCTGTCACATGCCCCAGGACCAGGCATAGACCATTAGCAACCCTACGACTCATTGAAGGAAGCCTTGCAGAAATGTGCTTGCGAAATAAGAAATGTGATTCCTGCTTTCGATTAAGGCGCTCACCTGCGGGCTCTGCCACTGGCGCGATCCTCGGCGCCTGCGTCTGTGCCTGGCAAAAGTGCAGCACAATTTGTGGCCCAAGCCGGGAAGGAAACCTGAAGGAGCCCTATGTTTTTTTTCAAACATGCGCTCACTTTCCTGGCCAAAGAATCGGCTCTCGTGCCCGCCCGAGCCTGGGAGCCGGAAGCATCCTCAAGGCCAGCTGGCGGGTCGCGCGGGTCCACGAGCGGCTCCTGGGGCCCTTGCATGCTGCCTTCGGGGCTCAGGGACCCGCAGCCATTTTGGCACAGGAAAACACAAGAGATCCCTGTTTCTTAAAACAGTCCCAACAAGTGCAAACTTGAACCGAGCAAACAACCAAACAACGCCCAACAAACGCACCCCTTCCCCCCCCCCCCCGCGCCCCCGGCCTTCCAGCACCTCTCGCGACCCAAGCACCTCTTCCGACGTGTCCTCATGCGGGTGCGCGATGTCACCACTGGCAGCTGCCAGGTCCCGCAAGGCCTGGGGTTGATCCTGGCCGCAGGTTCATTGCGGTTGTCTCCTTTAAAGATCACCTTCCACCCGCAAAACAAAAGAAGGGTTGAGCCACACTTCGGGTGCAAGATTGCCGGCACCTACACTTACTCCCACAAACATGGCACCTGGGCAGGCAGATGACTTTGCTCGTTGAAAGGGCCCGCTCTCCGCTGTCGTATAAATTAAGAGGCAGGAAAGCGGGTCATGGAATTGCACGTGCGCGCTGGGAAGGCCATCTGTGCTGCGTTGTTGTTTAACTACTGGTCAAAGAATATTTCAACCATGCCCTCAGGCTTCAATGTCTCGCGTCTGTCCTCGCCCTCACCTTCGCTCTCGGGCTGCAAGCCCCCACGCGGCACCAGCTTCCAATGTATCAGCGGAGCCTCGAAATGGAGCTGTCTCCCACCACATGCTGCAGGAACGAGGTATGGCTCCCCCCACACTTCCTGCCCGCTGCAACAATCCAGGCCAAGCGTTCAAAGTCAGTGGGCAACATCGTAGACCGCTTTAAACAAGGCCGTGTCAAATCCATTGTTCCCTGTAATGAACCCTCCAATGGTAAGCGACACCATTGTCAAACCAGCAAACTCCCATGGAGTTCCCGCGTTCTCCCACGGCTCACTAGGACAACAGAACGGGGCCTTGCCAAGTTGATGCAACTTGCCGCAGCTCCCAAAAGCGAAAGCCCGGCGCCACAGTTGCCGCTCCAGTGAAAATCCCAGCGCTGCTCCAGCGAAAATCACGCGCCACTCCAGTGCAAATAACATGCCACTCACTGAAAACCCTGCCAACGAACCTGCCACACCAGCGAAATTCCACTGCCTTTCCAGTGAGGAGGGGCGGTGAAACTCCAGGCCACTCCAGTGAAAATCCAGAGCCACCCCAGTGAGAATCTAGTGCTACTCCAGTGAATCCAGCGCCACTCCCATCAAAATAAAGGCCAAACAAAAAGAAGGTTCGTCGGAAAGTTGAAGTGGAAATGGCTTGACTCGCCTTGGAACGACACAGCAAGCAACCGGATTTGCTCTGGAATTGCATTGGAGCGGTTAAGCCCATTCTTTGCAGTGAAGAGGCCCTGCTTGAAGAACCCCATGATGTGCTAAGAAAAAGGGAAACCATCCCAGTTTGAGGGATTGCAGATCCCGTTTGGGGACACACCCACTTGCGAATGTTCGCTTATTTTTTGGGGTGTCCACATCCTATTCGGAGGCATTCCGACTTGCGCATCAACATTTCCTGCTCGGGTCAAGGCACGCCGCTGCGCACCCGGTGTGGCGTCAAGCAGTGGCTCGCCGGCCAGTCCGCAGCTTCCATAATAACCTCCGGTTCGATGCGACCACTTGATGGCTCTAGCGAGACCATTGTATGTCAAGCAAAAAGTCAGGCCAGAGTCAAGCAAGTTTCAGCAGTCATGAGGGTCGAAATGACTATGGAACCGACACATAGGTGCAAGATAAGATTGGGCACCCGCAAACTCGGAAAGAGGCACCAGTGACTGAAGATAGCATTGTGCACAAAGCGATGTCGCAGGATTGTAGCCCACTCGTTTGTGAGCCGCTGCATTCCTGTTGAAAAAGAGCCAACTCCATGGCGTTGACATGCTCATGCTTCTTCCTTTGCCTCCAAATTCTACTGGTTGCTGCGGGGTTCTGCGTCTCCCCTGGAGGCAAAACAAAGCCGACCGCTCTGCCCTCTGAACTCTCAAGTTGGCGGGTCCCCGCCTGCAAGACCCCGGCACAAAGGCCATCGCCTCGGGATCAAGAGCTAGCTCGCAATGCACGGTTTGCTAAGGGGCCGTGCGGCATGTCCATTCTGGATGCAGAAAAAAGGGGGCTATCCATCCTGCTGGCTTCCTCTTTGGAAACAACCATGACTGGCTAAACTTACAACCTACAACCCAGTATTCATCCCCCGTGCCATGCATTCACTTCAAGTTCAACGGGTCGGAGCCAAGGCGCTGCTTTCGCTGACTGCCTCCATGTCCTTAGCAACTGCACATGCCAAGCTGGGCGAAACATCTGTCCGATATGCCTCGTGTATGCACGTGTATGTGGGATGATGCCCAACTCCGGCCAAAAAGCGGTACATTGAGGAGCATCATCTGTGTCCACCGCCATATCGACCCTTCTGCGCTGGCCTTGCTCGCATGGTGCACGAGGCCAGGTGCACTTGTTGAAATTCAGTGTGCCACACAAAGAAATCCCCATGACACGGTGATGCCTTTCGAGCAACTTTTTCATTAACCAGGCGAACTCCTTCAACTGGGTCCAGTTAAAATATCGAACTCCAAATGATGGTGCTTTGACGTGGTTTGAGAACCCCTCAAGCCTTAACTGGGATCCTTAAAGGCTACATCCAAGAACGACCTGCTTACAAAGCGATCCTTATCAGCTGGTAACGTTGTTGTTCTCAATGGCCATAATGGCCCAAATGCATCCTCCAAGGGATTGTGTCTAAGGGACCCAGCACGACTGTGTCAAAGCTGCGCGTGCCTGCACCCCTAGTCAGCGCGGCTTGACGCACCGCACTCCGTGCAGCACTGGCCCGTGGCGGCGACATCTGCAAAGGCTTTGGCAGCGGCGAATCCTGGAACAAGGGTATGCATTTTCTAGCCCCCCCCTGCAAATTAACATGGAGCCTCAATGTCAATGAGGGGCCCTTTGGCAAATGATAGTGCAAAAAAAAGTTCTCTTGGCCTCAAAAAGCCGCGTGGTCGCCCCGCGTCAAAACCCGGCCTCCAACTCGAGGTCCGGTGAGCTGTGAGGCCTGCGCTCGGCCACCAGTACGGCTCTCGGAATCCGAAGAGCCCGTAAGAAAGTTCCATGCGGGGGCCCTAGGTTCTTGCCCTTGTGACGCCGGAAACGGGACAATCGAGGGAGGGCAGCTTGACCCGAAAAGCTTGAGGCCAGTCCTTCAGGTTCGAGCTGGAAGCTAGATTCGGGTAATACCCAAAGATGGCCGGTCTTTGGAATTTGAGAGTTCGCTCTCAAACAGATCCCAACTTTGGCGCACCCTCAAGTCCAAGAAACAGAAAAACCTCCGCGCCCTCATGTCTCCGACGTTCCGACTTCGCACCTCTGCAGCAGCGTCTTGGCCAGGCTGGGCGCCCGCAGCGGCTGGCTGAAGGGGTGCAGGGAGAACGCCAGCAGCGCGCGGTGCAGCGACTGCGCCAGCATGAAGAGCAAAGCGGCCAAGCGCCCCGCAGACCTGCCCGAGTTGCCAAGGCGTGAGGCGGCGTGAGGGGGGGGGTGCTTTGACGCGAATAACCAATCTCGTGCCGATGGACCTAGAAATGAAGGTCAGGGCCAACCCCCCCACCCAACTCCATTTTTGAGAGGGGGGCGGGGTCTGCTCAACTCCCCTAGCCAGCCAGGCTGGAATGTAGATTCCTTCAGCCAGGAAAACACGCGGCTGGCAACGAAAGCCATTGCACTGCAGCCAAGCTACACTACGTCATCTGGTGGCGCTGACAGCAGGTCCCACCACCCCGCAGGCTGCACAAAGGAGTGGTCCTAGGATCAAATTTTTCCCTCATCTAACCCTGCCCCAGGATTACAGAAGCCCCAAGCCATGACCCAGCGCTGGCAGCCCGAGGCAATTCATGCAAAGGCGTTCTGCAAAATAACACGAATCACCTTCCACAACCGTCTGCAAGAGGAAACTCGCAAGTGAGAATTGGTCCGCCTCTTGAGACTTGGGCAGGTCCTTCCAAGATGGCTCTTATGCGGTCGGGCCTTCGCAGGATTTTGGACTGTCAGCAAGTGGCACAGATTGAATTTGGCGCCCGCCACACTGAGTTCAGGGACCTGTCAATCTTCAGCGGAAAATTGGGGCAATGTCAAATGAAAACTCAAGCCACCCGTTCTCCAAATCAGGCTAGGCCGCAACTTGCTGCTGGAAGCGCATGTCCAAGAGTGCCAGGATTGTGCAGGCAACACCTGCTTTCGATGACGCAAACGCGCTAACCCAAGAAGAGAGCCCAGCGTACCCTCGACTCAGGCCCATCTGCCGCGCCACGCAGTGCGGCAAACTGAGCCTGCGGCCAATCAGCACGAAGACAGCATTGGCCAAGAAGAATCCCAGGCAGTCTGACTCGAAAACGTGACCTGCCAGTCAGAAGAGGTCATGATCTTGTTCCGCCAAGTCGCGGCGGTCGTGTCTTTCTGCCCAGGTGAAGAGCCAAAATTCAATCAGGCCACTTGCAGTTGTCGCCATGCTGCCCACCATGCCTTGGTCAAAGTTGGCTCAGAGCGGCAGAGAGTTGCAAGGCAAAAGCTTTCAACACGGCTGACTCTGCAAAGTTGCCCACTGCTGCGCCCGAGGCGGAAAACGCGACGCTGGGCTCAGCCTGGCAACCAACAAACTTGGGCAGAAGAGGAGACGGAATGAGCTGGGGCTTGGATGCGTGGATGGAAACCTTGCGCGAAGGGGCACAATCACACATCGTCATGCGGAAATAGGCCAGCAACGTAAACATGTGCACGAACGCCTACCTGATGGAATCGTCGTGTTTCAAGGACGGGGGCTGACACAAATCCTAGGCAAATGGACTTGGCTCGAATGGTCTGGTAGGGGTGTTCTCATGTCAACTCTTGCACCATTCCCTTGGGAGAAGCGCGATCTATGTTTGGAGGGGACCAACTTTCAGCTGCAAAGACATGTGGGTTTGTTTTTGTTGGAGGATATCCTTGTGGATGGCCTTCAAGAAAACCAAAACGGACCCCAACCACTTCAGGGCGGCAAACCCATGTCTCTCGCCTCGGCGCAAAGAGGTGCTGCAGACACCAGGGCGGCGGTACAAAGCAGCCAAGGCGAGATCGCGGCACTCAGGCGGAAGCACCCCGGGGGCACGGCACCTCGGATGTGAGTTTGGAGGGGCAGGAGATGGACCTCCAAAAGGTCGATCGACTGAAAATGCCGAAGTGGTCCGTCCCTCTGACTACTGTGCTACTTTAGGGATCTTTTTGGCATCGCAGAAAGTGGCCTAGAACCCCATGTCCATGGAGTTGTTTATATACAACCATCGGGTTTGTTTGTCTGTTTTTTTTTTTCCGCGCAAAGACCAAAAGAAAGCCCCGAAAACCCCAGGCTTTTGTAAATTAAAACGCAAACATGTTTTCACAATGAATTGTTCGAGGGCGCTGGACGCGCAGCCCACTAGCACCGCAGCGCCCAGCAGCACCGCCGAGATCCCCGAGGCCACGCACGAAGCGGCGGCAGCAGCCGCCTCCAGCACGGCCAAGCCTCCACGTTTGGAGGCGAAGGGAGCGGTTTTTTGGGGATTGGTGAAGGGAAACCAAAGGGAAAGCAGGATGCTATGTGTTGGCTTCCCTTTGGTGCTTCCGGGGCAGTTTCCTTTTTTTGGGCTGGTGAAACCGCCCAAATGGGAACCACGCATCCCCTAGTGCAAACCCAAACATCACGGCGCTCCGCCGATGCTCACCCCAAACCTCCCTGCCGCCTTGGGTACAGAACGAATCGACGCCAGAAGCAGGACGCTAACAGCCCCTACTCCACGGAGGGCCCAAACATTCTTTGTAGAGTTCTTCCTGTCTTTCTTTATCGCTGTGTTTCGTCCTTTATTTCTTTCGGTTATTGGTTGTTTGCTGAGTACATTTATTTCTTTCTTTCGTTCCTTCGATCTTCCTTATGTATTCCGTCTTTCTGTCTTTATTTTTTGCTGCCTTATTTCTTTCTTTTTTTTCTTTCTTTATTGGCTTTCTTTGCTTGCCTTCTGTCTTTGCTCCCTTCCCTTCCCTTTGCTTTGCCTTGCCGTGCTTTGCTTCCCTTTTATCTATTTGTCTTCGCTTTATCTGTCTTGTCTTTCTTCCTTCCTTCCCTCCTTCCTTTCTTCCTTCCTTCCTTCCTTCCTTTCTTTCTTTCTTTCTTTCTTTCCTGCTCTCTCTCTCTCTCACTCTCCCTCCCTCCCTCCCTCCCTCCCTCCCTCCCTGGATGTTCCTGAAGGGTGCCCATGGTGCCCCATCTAGGGTCATTCTGACAGGAAATCCAAGGCTTGCGCCTTGAAGGAGGCGCCGGATCAGCGGCGTCATGTCCATCTTCAGCTCAATGCACTCCTCCCGGGGGCTGCTGTCCTGAGACGTCCACATGAGCCATGTCCAAAACGTGTCGTGATTCCCTATATCGCATCCCTCTCCTTACGCCGCTTCCTTACGCAGCCTTACGTGCTCCGTGCTTTCGCTTACGCGGCACATGAGCTTCAAGTAGGCCTTACGCAGCCCTTACGCCAGAGAGACCGGATGCAATTCCGTGGAAGGCGGCCTACGTGAGCACTTTTGCCTTTCACGCAGATGACGAGCCGTGGAGGAAGATGAAGAGGAAGAACAGCTTCATTGCAGCGAATTTGCGAGTCAACGCATTGTCGTCTCCGGTTTTGGGCCCTTCCAGCTCCCAAGAGCGGGGCTTATCGTAGAAGCGCCGTCTCCAATTGCAAGTATCCTTCTCGTTTGGCGGGGTCCTGCTTTCTCGCGATGGCGCTGCCTTGTGGAGCAAGGCAGCGCCGTGCGGCAGAGCTGGACAATGAGCTCGGCAGAGCTGGACAATGGCAGGTCTAGGAAGGGCTTTTCAAAGCTGGCAAGGCTACTACTCATACTCAGAAACGCAGCTGGGGCTTACGCGGGGGCTTACGCGAAGCTTACGCGAGCCTTACGCGGAAAACGCCCAAACATTCCCTCGTTTTGCGTTGTGTAGTAGCAAAAAATGACAATATTGCTTTATAAGGCCCAATGGGTAGATATGACAAGCACATGACTAATGAGAAACACATGGATATGACAAACAACATGACTGAAACAACACATAGGATATTCCAAACAACATGACTGAACAATAGCTTACGCGGAATGCTTGCGCGACATGTGTTTTTCGACAGTTGCTTACGCCGCCTTACGCCCGTGCTGTATGACATAGTCCCTGATAAACATGACGGAGGTGGACGTTGCACACATGGACTTGTCCCTCAAAGGGTTGGAAACGGAACATGAAGCCCATGGGGTCCATTTCCATCGGGGAGTCAACTGGTCGTCCAGAGCTGGGATTGGTGGGAGGCATCCGGGCTTGGAAAATAGGGATAGACATCATTTACATGGAACCCTACATCGCTTCAAGGCAGACAAAGGACTATAAGAAAAGGCTGAGGGGAAAAATGCAAAAGAGGCCGTTCTGCCACCGTTCAGCTCTGCGTCGCTCCAGTATGGAGACGCCACATCGCAAAGACCTGAGAGGCAGAGCGAGAGCAAAATAACAACAAACACATAACATGGCCAAAATCTTTGTGTGGCACATGATCATGACTCTGCTAGAGGGCCAAGAAAAAGGTCAACTTTCAACCCAGTCAGCATAAAGATCTCTGCAGAGTCTCCTTTCGCACAGATTGCGTGAAAACGAACCATCACGCCAGCAACATCAAGTCAACAATCTCCGCAAGGTCAGCCAAAGCCAGCTCATAACTGACATCTTGTTTCTGCCCTGCTGCGCCGCAGCGAGAGCCGCGTCGGCGCCGCATAGCGCAGCTGCAGGGAGGCATCGGCCTCTCCTTGCCACCTGGCAAACAGCCAATGGGGTGAAGATGCATGGGTAACGTGTCCATCGCATAGTGCGCGGTGCGTGGCCGAGAAGTGCAAAGAATACTAATGATATGCAATAAGTACTTAAGCTTGCCAGGCCGCTGGTTCCAGGCAGAAGTCACCAACATCGTCGTAGCGCCGTCCTCCTTGCCGGACGCTGTGATGGGCTGCAGCACCAAAAGCTGCCCGTGCTGGCACACCTGCCAAGGGAGTGAGGTGTCACGGCCTCGGGAATTCCCGTCACCGGGTTGTTCAAGATGCGGGGATCCCAAACCGCAATAGTGCCAAGCGCCAGCCAAGCCCCAAACCAAGCCTGCCATCTTGATGACAAAGATTTGGAACCTCGGTTGAATGGTGACCTGCTAACTCTAAACTAGTAAACAGAGCTGTACAGGCACCCTGTCTTCCCTTTCAAAAAACAAAAAGTGAAGGGAAGGATCCACTGTGAAAAGCACACCCCCATGTTGATCAATGATGGGTTTGCCAATCCTGGGTTTTCTTCGAAGTGCGGGTGACCTCGCTCTCTGCATGCAGTCAAGGGACCACGGCGCGCCCATCGGCCGGACCGACTGGAGGTCCAGGTGAACAGCGGCGGAATCCACGGCAACACCTACCGCAATGACCCAATCGAAAGGATCCCCCCCTTTGGAAAGGGGGGGTTCCACGGGGGGGCACAAGGGGAGGGGACTACATGATATTGGTCTCTGGGCCGCTCAGGGCTGCACAGGCTTTCTCCCCAGCAGCGGCGCATGGCCACTGCCCTGCGCTTGCAACCAGCGACGCCGCCTGGCCCGGGATACAAGGCTCTGCCATCACATCTCCCCAAGACCCAGATGGCTTCTCAAGACATGTCTCAAGACGCATCAGGGTGGTCCTTTCGCCACCTTTTCGAAGACAAGCATATCACATCTCCAACAGGAGGCCTATACAAAAAACAACTGTCCAATGAGGCCTGAATGTTTGGACCAGCCTGAAATGCATGTCTTTACTTTTACTTGCCCTTTCAGAGCCCAGAAGAGTTGGCCCTGCACAATTGCAGCTGCCGCACGCAGTGTCTGGCTTGTGCATTCGTGATGCGCCTTCGAAGCCATGGCATCTCACCTTAGCTGTGGTTGGAGGACGGCCAAAGAAAGCTGTGCCAGCGTTTTCCCCAGATAGCATACTCCTAAAGAGGTGAGGTGCGTGCTTCAGGTGCTGCTCAGGTGCTGGTCAGGGTGCTGTTTGTGTGCTTGAGGCCGTGGTGATGGTGGTGGTTCGCGGGTGCTGTGGTCATCATGAAAAGAGCTGCTGGTTCACTAGAACACGTAATGGATGCTAGTTGCTGTATCATCATGCATGACGCTGTCACAACTCACCATCATTGGCGCACAATAGTTTGTGGCTATGGTATCATTGTGATTCTGCCTTC